CTCAATGAACTACATCTCCCGTCTCGCACCACACACCAAGACGGCCGTCACGTTGGCACATTTCACTTCTTTCTTTCAGAATGAGGCGGAAAGTATTAAAAGAGGTGAAAATCACTCCAAGTCTGGGCATGTTGAGAGCTGTACATACACACAAGGGGAGTTAGTCGGTTCCTAAGAGCCAGCATGCGGGGCCGGGATTCTGGGATTTGTAGTCTTTCTAGTTGCGTATTTTTCATAGTCTTATATTTCAACAGTTTTAAGGCAAACTGTGACTTTTTTGACATGGAAATGATTTTTTAAGATTGACAAACATCATACTGTATGTGTAAAGGCCCAGACACACCAGGCCGAAATCGTCCGTCTTCGGTTGTCTGACGACGAAGCATGCCCTGTCGCCCAAAGTCAATTTGGTGTGTCCCCGAACCCTCGGCCGTGACACGCCTTATTTGGCCTTTCACGGTCAACATGTTGAATCGGCCGTGTGTCGGACACAAGCTATCGGGCCAAGAAACCACTCTGATCAGCTGTTCAGCTAGCAAATGAGAAGCGAAACGGAAGTGAGGGACGTAAACAAACGATTTAAGAAGGCACAGGACAGCAGCTAAACCCCAGCAGGTGATACTTAAAGACATCAAACATAGCCCTTAAATGTCCTCTCTTACCTCCCACACATAGCAGGGACATCTCTGATATCGGCGGGAGCGTCCCCGGCTGTCCTCTGCTGAGAGCTCCGTGATTTGTTTGGTCAAGTCCGGTTTTTCATCTCATCGGTTTATTTGTCAGTATAAAGTTGCAGGATTAGTCTCAAGTACCTCAACATTGTCCTTAAGTACAGTGTCTAAGTAAATGAGATACTGTCTACTGCTGTTCATTTACCTATTGTGAGTCGCCTCGGATAAAAGCATCACATGGAAATGTAAATTTAGCAAGAAGTGGCCATTATTACATTACATACATTACTACATTGCTGACTCAATAAACTACACACCCGCCAGAACACTGCGATCATCAGATGCAGGTCTATTAACTGTGATTTTATAGTATGTCTGCACTTTATGTGCTCATTTCATCATTCATGTATTTTATATTCTACTAAAACTGAATCTAACCATAAACAAGGTGGCCTGTTGGGATATATATATATAATATCTGCATTATTTTATCCCACTTTGTGCTTTGCTCTTGCTGCTTGTTTTACACTGATTGTATGTCTTATTTCTTACTGATGTAAAGCACTTTGATCTGTAATCCCCTGTATGAAAGGTGTTATACAAATAAAGTGTTTATTATTATTCAGATGGATGTTTCTGCCCCTCTGTTAATTCTCCCATTATCCTCCTCAATCTGCCTAGAAGTATTGTAATGTTGTAGCTGTTACTATAACCAATACTAATGCTAGGGCTGCAACTGACAGTTATGTAGGCACATTGTTATTGTTTCTTATCGCTGTGTGATTAAAAGAATAAACACAAATAGCAGGAACTTTATTACGTTTTTTGTTTATATCACAGTCTGTTCTTCTTCTCTGTCTTCCGGTTGTTGCCTCTTTTGAATGACGAATACACACTACCGCCGCCTGCTGGTAAGGAGAGTTATTGCCACTCACGCATGCGCAGTTCGTACGTGCTCGGCTGAAGTCTTTGCGGTGTGTTCCAGTGCGACACATGGCCAAGACGCAGGAGAACACGGCGACGCAACAGTCGGTGTCGGCGTCGGCGAGTTCTCTGGTGACTGCTTGGTGTGTCAGGGCCTTAATTCATGGCACAATTAAAACGGGATTGAAAGATACGTTTTCTCTCTCTATTGACTTCAATACATAATTTTTCCGAAATAAGGTCCCATAGACCGGAAGTAGATGGGCGTGACTTCGCCTCTCTATAGAGGCCCCCCCCTTCCGGTGGACCTCCATGGGACCTTATTTCGGAAAAAGTATGTATTGAAGTCAATGGAGAGAGAACGATTATCTTTCGATCCCATTTGAATTGTTCCACGAATTACACATATGATGTTTGTCAATTTAAAAGATAATTTTGCAAGTCAAAAAGAATAAAAATGTGTCGTAAAACTGTGAAGTAACACTTTTTTTGTGTGAAACGCTCAATGAACTACATCTCTGGTCTCGCACAACAACACACGTCACCAAGATGGCCGTCACTACTGTCTTGCCAAAAAAGGGATTGACTACCCTCACTATCACCCTCTCACCCTGACCCTCACCCTCACTATCACCCTCTCACCCTGACCCTCACCCTGACCCTCACCCTGACCCTCACCCTCACCCTCACTATCACCACAATGAAACACGTCCAGAAGAATGTCATGTAAAGCTGCCTGCCTGCCTGCCTTCCTTTGATTCTCTCTGAACTGCATGATCTTTTTAATGTTTAATGTCAACCATTTGTGCAGATAGCATGAAGTAGAAAAGATCGCCGATGCTAATGTAGCGTTAGCATTAGCATTTCTCCCCTGGGCTTAAATGGTGTATTATAGAATGATCCAACACAGTCTCACGGCATTTCGTGTTATAGTCACGAAATTAATCTATTGATTCGTGTTCACCAACACGATTTCGCCATTTTTTTCGTGTCACACAGAACGATTTTAGAAGCAATGTATTTATATTGGTAGTATGTTTCGTGCCTGCACCAAATAATAACAAATTAGAAGGAAAAAAAGATGACATAAAATACAGATGTCAGTATTCTGAGGCTCTGAGCCCCATTTCTTTTCCTCACTGACGGCAAAAAAACTCAGACATTATACAATTTAAAATAAAAGGGATAGGGTTAGGCTTAGGGTAAGATATTGAGTAAGAACATGTTTTTATGAACCACACAGCTTCTGGTCTTCCAAGCATACTTGCCAACCTTGAGACCTCAGAAATCGGGAGAGATTAAAAACCACCGCGCCGGGGGGGGGGTTGCTAGTGGATCGCCGGAGCTGTTAGAACAGGAGCCTCGCAGCGGGGAAACTGACTTTTAAAGATGAAAAGAACATCTACACATTATTGTAGTTGTAAGTGCAATGCCTTGCTGCCTGTAGCACCATCCTTGATGAGGACCAGGAAAGGAGTGAGCAGAGGGTAAAGTTGTCCATTCTTGTTCTGTGACTATCTTCCTCACCATGCTGAACATCCTCTCAGACTTTCAGTTGCGCGCGCTACTAAAGAGATGCGCTACCATGGAAACCAAACAATGGTGTAGCTGTATTAAAGTCCTCAGTGGAAACAGTCGTGAGTAAATCTGATTTAGTCAGAAATCGGGAGAAATGCGGGAGAAATATGACCCCGGGAGGAAACCGGGAGAGGGCAGTGAAATCGGGAGTCTCCCGCGAAAATCGGGAGGGTTGGCAAGTATGCTTCCAAGACCCGACCGGACAAAAAGACGTGTTGCAGGCACGAAACATACTACCAATAGAAATACATTGCATTTAAAATCGTTCTGTGTGACACGAAAAAAAGGTGAAAATCGTGTTGGTGAACACGAATCAATAGATTAAATTAATTTCGAAACACGAAATGCCGTGAGACTGGGTTGAATGATCACACCGGTGTGACAGTACACTTCAAAGGGTTCACGAAATATGACTACTACTCTTACTGTTTAACATTTTGGGTTACTTAATGTTACTTCATGTTAAGGCTAATAAAAATGACAAGGCTGTAATGCTAACTAACGTGCTTGCTACTAGCTAGGTAGCTAACTTGATCCAGCCACTCCTGGTCCTTTCATCAGACGGGAAGCGAAAGAACGAGCAAGACCCATTGCTGGTATGATAACAACCTGGTACTAAGCACACAGGCATCTTGTTAAAGTTATCTTATCTTAGCCAGCGCCATATAGATAGATTCTATCTATATGGCGCTGATCTTAGCTATCTCTTAGTGGAGGAAAACAATTGTGACATCAGTTATGACATCACTTACGCGACTCTGGGATTTGTAGTCTTTCTAGTTGCGTATTTTTCATAGTCTTATATTTCAACAGTTTTACAACAAACTGTGACTTTTTTGACATGGAAATTATTTTTTAAGATTGACAAACATCATATGTGTAATTCATGGCACAATTCAAACGGGATCGAAAGATACGTTTTCTCTCTCCATTGAGAGAAAACCATAATTTTTCCGAAATAGAGAGGCGAAGTCCCGCCCATCTACTTCCGACCCATGGGACCTTATTTTGGAAAAATTATGTATTGAAGTCAATGGGGAGAGAAAGATTATCTTTCGATCCCGTTTGAATTGTGCCACGAATTACACATATGATGTTTGTCAATCTTAACAAATAATTTCCATGTCAAAAAAGTCACAGTTTGTCGTAAAACTGTTGAAATATAAGACTATGAAAAATACGCTACTAGAAAGACTACAAATCCCAGAGTCGCGTAAGTGATGTCATTAACAATACACTCGTGTTACTCACTGAAACCTTGTAAAGCCGGTCCCGCATGCTGGCTCTTACGGAACCGACTAACTCCCCTTGTGTGTATGTACAGCTCTCAACATGCCCAGACTTGTAGTGATGTTCACCTCTTTTAATACTTTCTGCCTCATTCTGAAAGAAAGAAGTGAAATGTGTCAACGTGACGGCCGTCTTGGTGTGTGGTGCGAGACGGGAGATTTAGTTCATTGAGCGGTTTCACACAAAAAAAGTGTTACTTCACAGTTTTACGATACATTTTTTTTTTTTGACTTGTAAAATTATCTTTTAAATTGACAAACATCATATGTGTAATTCGTGGCACAATACAAACGGGATCGAAAGATAATCTTTCTCTCTCCATTGACATACTTTTTCCGAAATAAGGTCCCATGGAGCTCAACCGGAAGGGGAGGGACTTCGCCTCTCTTTAAGGTCCCATGGACCGGAAGTAGATGGGCGTGACTTCGCCACTCCATAACCGTTATGTTCATATAGCCCCGCCTACTTTGTACGCCACCGCCTGCTTATAGGTTGTCTCTCGTCCGTCAATCCTTTCATCCAATCGAATGAGAAGGGGCGGGACATGACGGGGTATTAATTAAAGGCACCCTGCGTCTCCTGTGTTAATCCTGTTGTGTTTTCTGTCTAATAGCCGCAAGGATTAAAGTCGTCAAAAGATATCCAGGTATTTATAACATTTTAAAGCTCATGCCGTTTTTTTGGCTGCATTACTTTGATATTAACAAGATAAAACGCTGTTGTAATGATTTAAACGTGTTAAAACGTAATATGGCATCTAGACGTAAAATGTAACACTAAATGGTTGTTATTTGTATGTATATGTGTGTGTTTGTTATATAGGTAGAAGCTTGCATTAGAAAATATATGCATAAGTGAGGAAATAATGTGGTTTTCTTGTATTTACAGTAAAATAAGCATCATGGCTCTGGACGGATGTGGCCTCCTCTGCAAATACACGCTGTTAATTTTCAACCTCATCTTTGCAGTAAGTGGTTTAATAATTATGATACTTCCTATTTTAATTCTTCCCTTTTTTGTTTACTTTATAGTGTTCTGTGCAAGTTTTAACGCTGTGAATAACTAATGGTTTGTAAGTGTTTCTGAGGTTGTGTTAAAGTTGTTGGTGTGCGCTGGCACACTTTAGGTTTCGTTTCTGCGGAATACATCCATGGGAATACCAGCTTCCTGAGACTTTCATTTCCTGAGTTCTCTATTATGACAGGTGTCACCACCCGATCTGCAGCCCTGCCCTATCTGCAGTGCGCATGTGCGAGATGGTCCGCCATATTGCACAACTCCGTACGGCAACCCAACTAGGACACTTGACACAGTGGCATTTGGCAAAGCACACAAAGAAAACTCCGAAAACCGAGCGAGATGAGTTATTGTTATTACAACGTGACTTAACTATTATTTAACAACTATTTTTATTGGGTTCTTTTATTTGGGGTTAAGTACATTGTAAGAATAAGTGAGAAATGGATTTAACTTCTGTTAGACAGCTATCATACTGAATACATATTTACTGTGAATGTATGCAAAAATGTATAGCACATAGCTGTCTAACAGAAGTTAAATCCATTTCTCACTTATTCTTACAATGTACTTAACCCCAAATAAAAGAACCCAATAAAAATAGTTGTTAAATAATAGTGAAGTCACGTTGTAATAACAATGTGTTTATATCTACGGTGACAGCAGGTATGGCGCCTCTGTGTGGTCACATACAGGAAGGAGAAAGGAAAACAAAATATTTTAAAACAGGGGTGTCCAAACATTTTCCCCCGAGGGGTAATTATACTTTACATGAAGGTTTATGTACAAATTAACTGTATATTAATAACACATTTAGGAATTAAATAAAAACTGTGCACAAAACGACAATAAAACTGTTTACATGTGTTAACCACAATATAAACATTAGTGTATTGGTATTAATAAAGATATTAATGATAAAAAAATAGATTATTGATCTTTTTTATTCATATCTATATCCCTAGTCAAGTATTTTTTTAATTACTTTTTTACATTTTTGAATTCCACTGCTGTAATATGTAAAATAACATAGCGATTAAGCATGGTATTCTCTGTTTTGCACAATTATTCATATCAATTCAGATCTAATTGTGTCACGGTTTGGCTAGAAGCTGGGCCCAGCAGTCAGAACAAGATCTCAGTACTTTTATTTTGTTTTTCTCTGCTATCATGTTGCCTTGTGGTTGTGAGTATTTTGTGGTTTGACTGGTGTTAGTGTGCCTCTCCGTCCCTGTTGGTTTCATTCTGCACTTTTACATGACACCTCTTATACCACACAGCGTGAACAAACCCGAAAATACATCAGCGTCCGAAACCATAAATCTGAATGTGAAACCGTGTGAAGCTTCGTGTCTGATGCACATTCACACTGTGGTTATTCTTTGTGTTTTTCTGTGGTTGTGCAGCTGGTGGGGTTTGTGTTCCTGGGTCTGGGCCTGTGGCTGAGGTTCAGCGATAGCACCAGAGCTATCTTTGAATTCGAGGCCCTCGACTCAAGTGCATTCGTTATTGGTCAGTACATATGTGGCATGATTTCACCAGAATAAACATATTGTGTGTCTGAAACATGTTTAATCACAGATCTTTATATCTTTTTTTTAAGCGGTGACTATCCTGATTATCACGGGCTCGGTGATGCTGATCGTGGTCGTGTTTGGAGACTACGGCGCCTGCAGCGAGAAACGATGCGCTCTGCAAATAGTGAGACTTCTGTGTATACAGCCATATAGAATATACAGCCATTTTATGTGATTGCAAAAGCCTGCCTTACACAACTGGCTTTCTGTAACTAGTGCAGAACTCACTGTGAGATATGTTGTTTGCTTTGTCTAATATGCAAACATAACAACCTGAAAATGAGCATCATTTTTCCTCTTAAGTGTTAAGTTTAAAGGTGGGGTAGGTACTTTTGAGAAACCGGCTCGAGATACACTTTTTGTTATATTCCATGGAATGCTCTTAACATCCCGATAGCAATGAATATCTGAAGTGCTTTGACAAAAAATCCATTAAAAAATGTCATCTGTGGAAGCCGTGGCGCTGTAAAAAGCACGACCAATCATTTTAGCTGGCCCGGCTAAAATAACTGGATGGCCTACCTGCCTGTCAGCCTTCCATCTGTGCACAAACTTATCTCGTGCCCTCATTGGTCATGTGCGCGTTCGTGTGTGTTGGAGGAGGGGCTCTGTAAGGAAGTGGCAGATTTTTTCCGGCTGTGTATTTTCAAATTCTAGCGCACTCGAGCTGGTTTCTCCAAAATTACCCACCCCACCTTTAAAGGTCACCTATTATGCAAAATCCACTTTTTCATGTCTTTTCTACATCAACATGTGTCCCCTCTGTGGAAAGAGATTCTGAAAGTTCCACATGCGAGCGAGGAACAGAGAATGTATAAATATCCTTCAGTTTTCCCAAGAAATCGACTGGGTTTACTAACGGCTTCCTCTCTGTGTAGTTTTCAGCACTGGTGGCCATCCTGGGAATTACTGTGGTTGTTTTGGGAGTGATTAATAGTTCCAGGTCAGACGAGGTAAGATGGAAGGAAAACAAACAAGAGAAGAATAAATGTTTAAAATGAAAATACTTTATGTATGTTCATGAAATTGCGTTTTATTTTTCAGATTGGATTGAGCATGGGGGAGTTCTACTCTAGCATATATTTGCTGTATGTGGCTAACAGCGACCCAGTTCTTGCTGTCACTCTCACATTCATCCAAAAACTGGTAAGCACTTTATTTCCTTCTTGGAATGAAGAATGGAAGAAGATTTAAAAGTGCAACTTTGCTATTAAAAATAAATAAAAAATACATATGTAATCACTAAAAACTCTCAAAAAATATAACTAAAATGAGTGTCTAATAATACATTTTGAGCCTTATTTATATATTTGAAAATGTGTTTAAATGAGAGTAGATTTGCTTATTACTCGTGTCTTTATTTACTTCCACATTGATTATATAATGTGAGATGTAAAATATGTGGTTGTGATTCTTATTTATTTAATTGTCAGTGTTTTAAATCTCCCTTCATCTCGTTCCTCTGTAGCTTCACTGCTGTGGAGCGACCGGGATTACGTCGTTAGACTTTGCCAAGGAAACCTGTCCCAAACCAGACACCATTTGGGAACACATCAAGATGGATGTAAGTTAATGCCAATTAGCATTTTACTGTCGTACTTTAGCCTGTTAGCATGCTAATGAACTATGACAAATCCAAGCTTGTATATGTGTCCAGTATTGTATGACTTTGAGTTACGATATTTTAAGTAATTTTATTTAAAGACACTTACAATGTGGGTTTACTTGTGTTTAAAACAAACAAAAAATGAGGACTGCCCCTAATAGTCGAATAATCACTAGTCGACTAATAAAGTCTTAATCGAGCAATTTTTCATTAGTCGATTAGTTTAAAAAAAGATATGTTATATTAAAAAAAAGAGCTCCGTGCGCTGCATGTGCTATGACGCGTCACCTGGAAACCCTCAGACTTCATTCAGAGCGGAGCCTGGTGATAAAGTTAATTTGGTGAGGCAGGAAATTTAAAGTGTGGATCTTTCTGAGCGAGTAAAGGACGAGTCCCACAAGGTGACATGCAAACTACGACGCGTAAAAGTCTCCTCCATACCCACCATCAGAGCGCAGCTTCCTGAATGCCGGCTTCATAACAAAACACGGAGCTTAATTATCGCGACAACGTGTTTTACTTTCTCAGACTCGGAGGAAAACAGCAGCAGTGAGTCAGCCTAACTTTGTATCAACATATATAGACCTATAATATATCAACATTCTGACCTCAGAAAACGATGGGATTTTTGCCGATGCTCATATTTTCAGTGTTTCCGTTTCCTCTGTAATATTTATTGGCTTTTTTATATTCAGATATGAATAATAGAAACTAGAACTAAATGTTCCATGTGTGTCCTCGCTGCTTGTTCATACACACAATAAGGGCGGTGGTGGCGAAGTCCATAGAGACTTGGCTTGGCAACTGGAAGGTCACCAGTTCAACTTCCGGAAAGACCAAGTGCTACCGAGGTGTCCCTGAGCAAGGCACCGTTCCCTACACTGCTCCCCGGGCGCCGTACATAATGGCAGCCCACTGCTCCTAACACTAGGATGGGTCAAATGCAGAGAAACCATTTCGTTACATAGTACCTGTACTACGTAATGACAATAAGTTGAATCTTATCTTATCTTATAAGAATCCTTACCGGAGCTTCTGCTGTTAGAACCGCTGCATCCATGCGCTGTGACTCTCAGGCGCTCTCTACATTTATTTTATATTTCAAAGGTTCATTATTACAGTTTTATTTTATATTTTATGTGAAGCACATCGTCCACTGAAACCATTTTGGGTGAAAAAAATATATATATTAATAATCATAATGTATCGTAAACGTGGGACGATTAGAAAAATCTTTAGTCGAGGGCAGCCCTACAAAAAGTTAACACCCTTTTCCGGCAGTGGCTCAGTCAGTAGGGGCTTGGACTGGGAGCTGTAGGGTCGCCAGTTCAAGTCCCCGACCAGACATACAAATGGAGTGTGGACTGCTACTTGGAGAGGTCCCAGTTCACCTCCTGCCCTGCCGTGGTGCCCTTGAGCAAGGCACCGGACATTGCCCTTCGATCCCATTGCTCCCCGGGCGCTGTACAATAGCTGCCCACTGCTCCTAGTACTAGACTCCTGGTAATAGGATGGGTTAAATGCAGAGAACAAATGTCACTGTGTGTGCTGTGTGCTCTACATGTGTGACCATTAAAGAGGGTTTCATCCCTCCCCAATATATATATACCTCTTCTTTCATTTTAATTTCTTTACAATTCAACGTTTATTATCATGATTTAGCCTGTTAACAACTAAATATGACAACAAAAAGTTAGTATATCTGTCCAGTATCGTTTGATTTTAGTTATTATATGTTCACTTAAGACAGTATTACAATGTAGGTTAACCTGTATTTGAAACGGACAAATAAATAAACACCTTTTTTCATATAATATTCAACACGTTTACTAACATAGTTTAGCCTGTTAGCATGCTAGCAGTTAACTATGACAAAACTAAGTTTGTATATCTCTCCAGTATTGTAGGATTTTGTGTTATGTGTTCACTTAAAACACTATTACAATGTAGGTTTACGTGTTTGTAAACTGACCAAAAATTAACATCTATTTTTCATATTTTCCTTCTAATATTCGCCACGTTTACTATCATAATTATTCTTGTTAGCATGCTAGCAGTTAACTGTGACAAAACTAAGTCTGTATATCTTTCAAGTATCGTTTGATTTTGAGTTATTATGTGATCACTTAAAGACACTTACAATGTAGGTTTCCGTGTGTTTGAACCAGACAAAAAACACCCCTTTCCTCCTTCTCTTAGAATATTTACCACATTTAGTATCTTTGTTGCTAGCCTATCTGAGACTGTTAGCATGCTAGCAGTTAGCTATTACGAAACTAAGTTTATATATCCCTCCAGCATTGTAGGATTTTGAGTTATTATGTGTTGACTTAATACTATTACAATGTATGTTTACGTGTGTTTGAAACAGACAAAAAAAAACACCCCTTTAGTCTCTTTGTTACTAGCCTATCTTAGACTGTTAGCATGCTAGCAGTTAGCTATTATGAAACTTCATTTGTTTATCTGTTCAATGTTGTAGGATTTTGAGTTATCTTTTTTTAAGACACTATAACATGTGGGTTTACATGTCTGACACAAAATAAACCTATTCTTTCCCTCTTTTTCTTAGATTATTTGCCACATTTAGTATTTTAGTTGCTAGCCTATCTTAGCCTGTTAGCATGCTAGCAGTTAAATATAACAAAACTAATGTTGTTTATCTCTCCAGTGTTGTAGGATTTTGAGTCACGATCTGTATTCGCTTTTGAAATTAGTTCCTTCTAGGTTTATATGTGTTTAAAACTGACAATAATCCCCTTTTTTCTTGGTGCTATACAGGCTTGTCCTGGGGTGATTATTAATGTCTTCAACGACAAAGCACCGCTGGTGATGGGCCTGTTCGTCGGAACTGGAGTTTTTCTGGTAAGAGCAGATGTGTTGCATGCTTCAAAATTGAAATGCAGTAAATAGATTTGTTTCAGCTAAAATAGGACGGTGAACAAAATGTACCCATTTTTGTATTTACTGTATAGTCACATGTTTACTTTAAAAATGAGTTGCCTAAAACAGTTAAGCACACATATATAAATGACAGCACAGTGTACTCTACCTTCAATTCAAATTCACACTAATGGTTTTTGTTTATTTATAACTAAAGAACATATCAATTACATAATATAATTTTTGCCACGTTTACTGTCTCAGTTTAGCCTGTTAGCATGCTAGCACTTACTATGACCTGAATCGGTATATTTGCGAAGACTGCAGTTACAAGAGAAATAAAATAATTTCTAATACATATTTAAATTAACCTTTGATTGGACCATCCAAGAACCCTAAAATAACCTTACTTTTACTGCATACAGGATATCTTAAATAATAATACTTCACGCAAAACAGTATAACAATTAAAACTATTTAGCATTGAGTTAGCATTAGCTGTTACAAAAGTGGTGGGGCACAAAAAACTTAGATGTCTATATATAAGCTTCTGCAGTGAGGTTCATGGCTGGTGAGGCACTGGCACTGACTCTTCAGGTTTACAAATATTATATTTTGACCTAAACCAAAATATAATATTATTTTCAAAAGCTTTTTTTGTCTGATGCTTCGATTAATTTTAAACAGACAGTTCAACAAAAGGATACCCAAAAAATGTAATTTTATCATTTAAATATTGAATTGTTCTCTCTTAGTAAGATCCCATTTTCAAAAAATTGCGGTCTTACCTTGACTTGAAGATGAAGTCCATTTGTCTATCCTTCTGGACAAAAAATTCTATAACTTTTTTGTAAAAGTCCTCCTTATGTTCTTGTAGTTTCAAAAGTCTATCATAAATCTAATCGATAGATTTATGATTCGAAAATTATAAAAGTAGGGTAGACATGTGGATGTTATCCGGCTGAACAAAACGTGCATTTATCTAACAGGTACGTTTCCCACAGATCTTATTTCGAGCTATTTTCTAAAATTCTATGGAGAAACCTCATTGCTTTTTTGCAGCTTACTTCCTGGTTTTAGGACGCGTCACTGCAGCTCTCTCGTCTCCTCTTCACACACCACACTTTTCGCGGCACACGTACTTACAGCCAATCAGCTCTGAATGATGTGAGATGACGTATGGTGGGGATGGCAGCTCTGTGCCCCTATAGAGTGGCGAAGTCCCTCCCCTTCCGGTTGAGCCCCATGGGACCTTATTTCGGAAAAGTTATGCATTGAAGTCAATGGAGAGAGAAAGATTATCTTTCGATCCCGTTTGAATTGTGCCACGAATTACACATATGATGTTTGTCAATTTAAAAGATAATTTTGCAAGTTAAAAAAAAAAAAATGTGGCGTAAAACTGTGAAGTAACACATTTGTTTGTGTGAAACGCTCAATGAACTACATCTCTGATCAACAACACACATCACCAAGATGGCCGTCACTACTGTCTTGTCAACAAAACGATTGACTATCCTCACTATCACCACAATGAAACACGTCCTGAAGAATGTCATGCAAAGCTGCCTGCCTGCCTTCCTTTGATTCTCTCTGAACTGCCTGGTCGTTTTAATGTTTAATGTCAACCATTTGTGCAGATAGCACAGGGTTGCCAACTTTGGGTACCTGGCTGGAGTGAGATTTTGATATCATGGGTTTAATTCGGTTTAATTACACATATGCGCACAAAATGACTGCTATCGTGTCAGCAGCGGGACCTTAGCATATAGGATATATATACAATATATACAAATACACAATAATGGATACAGACTATAAAGGGCACACAGTTTCATTCACTAATGAAAGTCAAACATGTTTGTTTCCACTGTTTTATTGTGTGCCTGTCGCGATAAGCCATTAATTGACTTATCGTACGATAAATAAAAATGAACTTGATAACTTTTCTGACCTCGATAAATTGCCATTTACATGAGGATGTGACTAGCAGTTTGAAAGGATGTACTTGAATTATTATTATATATTATCATTATGTCAGTGGTCTAAAATGGTCATACAACGGTGCCGTATATTATCGTTTATCGCAATAATTTCCGGGAAAATTTATCCAACAAAATTAATTATCGTGAGAGGCCTATACATGAAACACACACACACAAACAAATCTACAGACTTACTCCAAACTGCCAAATATATAAATTAACACACTCTCACTCTCATATACTCATACAATCATTTCTACTGGATCTTAGATCTGCGCATGCACAATACGGGTCGGCAGTTGCGGCTCCAGAGTATTTTTGTTGGGTAATCTATGGTAGGGCTAACCCATACAGTGGTGGGGCTCAAGTCAGTATTTGCAATGTAATTACATACACGCTCCCCCCGACAGTGAAACGCCACGCGTGAGGTTTAGATTATTTCCCTGTCTCAATCCAAATTGAACTGTATGAAATAAAAAGGCACATTTGTCTTGTAGTAAATAAAAAGGACGACCTGGAGCCAATCCTGCAATTTCCCCACAGGTGGAAGAGTTGACGTGCTGAAAACCCAACCCCTGCAGGGGGGTCTGGGGGGATTCTCCCCCAGGAGATTTTTTTAAATACTAACATAAAATACACATTCTGGTACTCTCTTGAGAAGAAAAATAAATACATCTATTACTACATGACATATTTAAAAAAATGAATGCCATTTTAGTTTTTTGTTACTTTGTTCTGAAAGCTGAACCTGCTGCTCCTCACAGAGAGAAGAGGGAAGAGGCTGTGTGAATTACTTTACATTGTGGATAAGGGTGGCTAGCCCCCATTGTTCTGTGTGTCAAAATGAAAGACAGCCCACACACCTATCAATCATCAAACCCTGGGGTCTTATTTCATTACGTGTTGATTTATATCAACACGAATGTTGTATCGATGTATAGAGATGTACTACCGCAAAAGTATTCTCCGTCGGGACTTCCTGCAGCAACACCACGCCGTTATCGTGATTCTGATTGGCCAGAAGACATTATCAAAGATGTTCTATTGAGAAGACGATCACTACGTGACAAAAGTTTTCAAAACCGTTTCTAGTCTTCGGTATTCTTGTTTTTGGCATGAGAATAGTTTGGGCAGCGTGAGAGCGTGAGATTGAGAGTGAAAGCGTGTGTCACACGCCAGATGCGTGAGAGTTGGCAACCCTGAGATAGCATGAAGTAGAGAAGATCGCCGATGCTAACGTTAGCGTTAGCATTTCTCCCCCGGGCTTAAATGGTGTATTATAGAATGATCACACCGGTGACAGTACTATTCAAAGGGTTCACGAAATATGACTACTACTCTTACTGTTTAACATTTTGGGTTACTTAATGTTACTTCATGTTAAGGCTAATAAAAATGACAAGGCTGTAATGCTAACTAACGTGCTAGCTACTAGCTAGGTAGCTAACTTGATCAAGCCACTCCTGGTCCTTTCATCAGACGGGAAGCAAAAGAACGAGCAAGACCCATTGCTGGTATGATAACAACCTGGTACTAAGCACACAGGCATCTTGTTAACGTTATCTTATCTTAGCCAGCGCCATATAGATAGATTATATCTATATTGCGCTGATCTTAGGTATCTGAATGCTGGAGGAAAACAATTGTGACATCACTTACGCGACTCTGGGATTTGTAGTCTTTCTAGTTACGTATTTTTCATAGTCTTATATTTCAACAGTTTTACGACAAACTGTGACTTTTTTGACATGGAAATGATTTTTTAAGATTGACAAACATCATATGTGTAATTCATGGCACAATTAAAACGGGATCGAAAGATAAGTTTTCTCTCCCCATTGACTTCAATGCATAATTTTTCCGAAATAAGGTCCCATTACCCGGAAGTATGTGGGCGTGACTTCGCCACTCTATGGTCTTTTGTTTTTTGCCACACACATTACATTGAAAAATACTCTGAGCATGCGCAGTGTAGTTTTTACAGTCACCGTTCACTTTGACAGTGAAAGGGTGGGGCATGATCAGGTTTTGTCCCACATGGCTCAAAACGGCACTGTAGACACTAATTAGAAGAACACAGACTAAAACAGCAATGTACAGACGAATCAGATGATTAAACATGACCTTAAAATATATTTTATATATTTTTTAATTTCTTTTTTTGCATCTCTTTGCATTTTTTGTAATCATTATGTGTAATACTTTCTGCTGACACTAGGTGGGGCTGTGCCCCACCTGCCCCTAATGACCAGTCGCCACTGGCTGTTACACAATTAGCTAATTGTGGGGACAATAAAGAGTAGTGAGTCTTGTATAACAGCTCCATACATTTTCAACATGCTTCATTTTGTTGTCTCTCATTGTTCATAAAGTTATTGCTTGTAGTCTAACCCCTATGCCCTCCTTTCTCTCTTAAAAAAAAAAAAACTCCTCCCCCTGTCTTGATTCAAACAATAATTTTCACAACATTTTTCACTCTCTTCATCACTGCTCCCCAAAAGCTCCTGGCTTTGATTTGCAGCTCAACCCTTTCTAAAAAGCTCATTAACTCATCCACTCCTCAGTACATGATCCTGACTCAGCCTCCACCATCTCACCTTGAATATATCCCCACCTCCACCTCCATTTCTTACTCTTTCCCCAACCAGCCGGTGGTCTTCACCCCTCTGACTGTGGCCAACATCCCCATAGTTATAACTTAGAGAGCACTTTTACCACAATGCTCGGGCATAGAGGATACAGATCTGGGTTTATTTCCACATTCACATTACTTCATGTTCATCTCTTCTGTGCATGCTCACTGTGGGGTCTCTTCAGCTCCCTTTAAAGGAAAAATCCACCCTTAAGTAAGTAAAATGTATTTATAAAGCGCTTTTCCCAGACATAGTCACAAAGTGCTTGACAAAGCATTAAAACATCATACGAATCATGAAAGCTTAAATGAACACAACAAAGCCACGTGTTAAGAAGTGCTAAAAACACAATACACAATAAAAACACAATAAAAACAGTTGCATCAAAAAAAATATAATTTCAACCTCAGTTTTTTATTTCTAATCTGCCTGTATTAAAAAAATACATTTATAAAGGGTTGGATTTTTCCTTAAAGTGTCTTCATATCTCATTTTGCCTTCCACACAAACGTCTCTTTTTGTAGCTGCATGCTAATTGTTAGCCTGGGCTGGTACCTGTCTTACATCGAAACTCATTCTGTGGCTGGTGTGACCCGGGTCAGGAAGCCTGGCTCTTATTCCCATCCCTCCTCTTCACCTCCCCTCCTCCCTCTTGTCTGAATGACAGGTTGTTGCCCTGGTCTGCAGCATTGTCCTGCTGACAAAGATCAAGAGAGAGCAGCAGGAGATCACTGCGCGATACACAACCGTGTACTAACAACAGGAGTTCAACCCTCATCAGCACTGGATTTCAAGCTTGAAAAATGTTACAAACATGTGTCTCTGTGGCTCAACTCCAAACTGATCCCAACACACTCTCCCCACTTCGACTCTGTTTCCAAAACCCTCCAACAGGGAGTTATCAAACCCTCCAACAGGAAGTTATTAAACCCTCCAACAGGGAGTTATTAAACCCTCCAACAGGAAGTTATTAAACCCTCCAACAGGAAGTTATCAAACCCCCCAACAGGGAGTTATTAAACCCTCCAACAGGAAGTTATCAAACCCTCCAACAGGAAGTTATCAAACCCCCCAACAGGAAGTTATTAAACCCTCCAACAGGAAGTTATCAAACCCTCCAACAGGAAGTTATTAAACCCCCCAACAGGGAGTTATTAAACCCTCCAACAGGAAGTTATTAAACCCTCCAACAGGGAGTTATCAAACCCTCCAACAGGAAGTTATTAAACCCTCCAACAGGGAGTTATTAAACCCTCCAACAGGGAGTTATCAAACCCTCCAACAGGAAGTTATTAAACCCTCCAACAGGGAGTTATTAAACCCCCCAACAGGGAGTTATCAAACCCTCTAACAGGGAGTTATCAAACCCTCCAACAGGGAGTTATTAAACCCCCCAACAGGGAGTTATCAAACCCTCCAACAGGGAGTTATCAAACCCCCCAACAGGGAGTTATCAAACCCTCCAACAACAAATTATTAAACCCTTCGACGGGAAGTTATCAAACCCTCCAGCAGGAAGTTATCAAACCTTTCGACAGGAAGTTATCAAACCCCCCAACAGGAAGTTATTAAACCCTCCAACAGGAAGTTATCAAACCCTTCGACAGGAAGTTATCAAACCCTCCAACAGGAAGTTATCAAACCCTTCGACAATTATCAATATTTTATTGTGCCCTTTTCTTTTGTATTTTCATGCAGTGGAATGGATGTTGAGTATAATGATCAATTATTAATCTATCTATGAACGGACAGGCCTCTTCATCATCGTGGACATACGATAAATAATGTGACACATCCGTTTAATAACAAACTGTGAGGAAGAGTATGGGATACTGTAGGAGGAGATAGATTCCATACCTGTTACACTTTTTTTATCCATGTTTATCGTCTTTTTTTCCTCTAATGCTTTTAACGTTTTTGTGGAAGAGGTAATTACTCACTGAGCCACTGGAAATATTGTTTTTAATGAATATTGTATGCATAAATGAGAAAGGGATCATGTTCTGTAAATTCCATTTAGATGATATGAAATGTTTACGTAAGGTCGGGTCGTATATGTCCCTGTCGACACCTTAAAGTGGGAATTGTTTTGCTATAGAAGGGATTTTTCAATAGTTTTGCATTCCATAATATTTATTTTTTACGTGATTGTGCATCAGGAGGACCACAGGATTCAACTTGAATAAAGTAAAGGACCTTTTTGAGTGTGACATCAGTCGTCAGGTACTGTAAGAGGCTGTTAATCTTACTGTATAAACTAAGTGTATATGCTGCCTTCCTGTAAACACTGCTTTGGTTCAAAGGGAAACACCATTTCATTAATGACAATTATATTCACATTTTGTATTCCTTCAAGTGCCTGCAAACACATTATTGTGATCAAATGCATCAAGTGTCTTGTTTAGTATTGCTTGTCCTTCTCTTTGCACAGTATATTTTGCACTATATACGTTTTCTAATAAATATTCCATACTGGGATTTTCCCCTTTTCTTCATCAAGACTTGTGTGTTTCTGTTATTTCCATGAAACAAAACCAGAGTGCAGGTGTGTAAAAGTGTTTATTTCATTGCTCACACGTCACTGTCAGGACCAGTGAGGGAAAAACACAAGTTAGTGTCGTGATAAGAGTCCTCGAGACATTTTTACCCACATATATTCGTTGGTTATCACATATTTGATTTTTCTATAGTCTTGAATTGTGCTTTAGAAAGGCATGTTTGTAAAGCCCTTTGGAATGATGCAATACTAAGTGAAACATAATTACTTAATTGGGTAATGGAAATGCAAGCAGACACAGATAAGAAACAAGTGACATCACTATGTAACACTCAAGCTTCTATTGGTTATCGCTGCAACACATTGTACGTGATAGGTCAACCTCTTAGAGATGTCCCGCCCCTTAGCCAATCACAACAGAGCCGGCCAGCTCTGTTACCAATCAGAGCAGCAAAGTGGTGGGGCACGAAAAACTTAGATGTTTATATTATTATATATAAGCTTCCGGTGCTTTTTTAAACACGTAAACAAATAGCTGGCTATCCATGGTTCCGATAGGATAGAGAGAGGGGGACGGGTGTCGCTCTATGCAAGTCAATGGGACTCCCTGATAGTTGAAAATCGACGCTAAAGGGCCCCGCACTGCGTTGATAGTGACGCCAAGGGATCCTGACATATAGGACGAGTTGGGAGTGAGAATGTGTTGGACAGTGACGAGAGAACTCATTTCCGGCAGCGAGAGCTGCGTCCCTAAAAAACGCCGACACGGGAAATACTGTTTTCACGCCGAGAGATGACGATAACTTCACATGGATACTGGCCAATGTAAAACCTCTTTAGTAACATACGTAGTACATATACATTTGTTTGACTAGAACTGAAAAAATCTTCGTATTTTCCACAAAAATGTGTGTTATAGTGAACCAAAAGTCGTGATAGAGGCTTGCTTGTCAACATCTGGGTATTTCCGCACTGGTGGGCCATGTTAACAATACCGTGTCACAATATCAATCGATCCAGCAGAGCAATAGCCTGTAGGCAAAACACAGAAGATCAACAAAAGATATGACATAAAATTAACTTATCAAAGCTGAAGTATATGGTCAACTTCATTCATTTTCTTTCCGTTTTACTGATTGTTATCGCTATACGCTGCTCTCTCTCGTCTCCTCTTCGTTCACAACTACTATTTTCGCGGCACACGTACTTACAGCCAATCAGCTCTGAATTATGTGAGATGACGTTTTGGTGGGGATGGCAACACAGTCCCCCTGGTGGTTATTTTTTTTGCCGCACACATTGAATAGAAAAAGACTCTGAGCATGCGCAGTGTAGTTTTTACACTACACGTTCATTTTGACAGCAGAGAGAGGGGCTAGACCGCGGCTTGCCCCTCATCGCTCAACACAGCTCAATAGGCACACTGTGGACACTAATTAGAAGAACGCAGACTAAAACAGCAATGTACAGACGAATCAGATGATTAAACATGATCTTAAAATATATTTTAAGATGTATTTTTTTTGCATTTCTTTGGAATTATTATTTTAATTACTTTCTGCTGACACTAGATGGTGCTGTGCCCCACCTGCCCCTAATGACCAGTCGCCACTGCCTGCAGCACAGGCAGTATGAGAAAAATAAAGAGCTTTTTGAACATTAAAGCATGGAGACATGTCACAGAGTAGAGACACTAAAGACAAATATGAACCTGAAATGAGCAGAATATGACCTCTTTAAGTCCAGTATTTGAGTAGATCTACTTCATTCAACTTTAGTTTTGTTCCGTATTCTCTGTCTCTCTAATGGTGAATAATGTGTGTTTTTCAAGACACATGGTAGAGGAAATGCTACAAACAGAGGTTGCACATTCGTTTACATTGTTTTACAGGAACAGAATTACGTGTGGTTTATTGTTATTGTATGAGCCAAAGGCAAATATGAAAATCATCTACGCCAGAAGAAAAATATTTGCTTGAAGGTCCCTGAGATAAAAGCAGGGTTTGACAGACAAAAAAACATTGTGTCAGATGTCATTACCTGTCCTTTGTTTCCAATTTTGTTATGTATGATTATATATTTCACATTACACCAATTAAAAAATATCCACTACTAGTTTTTCATTTATTATTCTTGCATTATAAATTATTGCAGTTGAAATACAATGGGTGTTTGAATCCCTGAGATATTTGTGTAAATTAAATACAAAATCAAACAGACAAGACATCAAAAAAATAAAAGAAATAACAATAATAGAAAAAGTAAATGCATAAAAGTGCTATGGCTTGTTTTAAATATGTAAATCATATATTTCTATAAAACAGAACAATTAAGTTGTATTCTTGTTTATTTATAGTAGGAAAAAACTCTTAAAATACACAAAATCAACATTCACTTTCATTCCATGTGATCCCATTTCCTTAACTTTCACTCTAACCGTCCTGTTCATATAGCCCCGCCTACTTTGTACGCCACCGCCTGCTTATAGGTTGTCTCTCGTCCGTCAATCCTTTCATCCAATCGAATGAGAAGGGGCGGGTCATGACGCACGTTGGGGTATTAAATAAAGGCACGCTGCGTCTCCTGTGTTGTTATTAATCCTGTTGTGTTTTCTGTCTGATAGCAGCAAGGATTAAAGTCGTCAAAAGATATCCAGGTATTTATAACATTTTAAAGCTCATGCCGTTTTTTTGGCTGCATTACTTTGATATATTAACAAGATAAAACGCTGTTGTAATGATTTAAACGTGTTAAAACGTAATATGGCATCTAGACGTAAAATGTAACACTAAATGGTTGTTATTTGTATGTATATGTGTGTGTTTGTTATATAGGTAGAAGCTTGCATTAGAAAAGGTATGCATAAGTGAGGAAATAATGTGGTTTTCTTGTATTTACAGTAAAATAAGCATCATGGCTCTGGACGGATGTGGCCTCCTCTGCAAATACACGCTGTTCATTTTCAACCTCATCTTTGCAGTAAGTGGTTTAATAATTATGATACTTCCTATTTAAATTCTTCCCTTTTTTTGTTTACTTTATAGTGTTCTATGCAAGTTTTAACGCTGTGAATAACTAATGGTTTGTAAGTGTTTCTGAGGTTGTGTTAAAGTTGTTGGTGAGCGCTGGCACACTTTAGGTTTCGTTTCTGCGGAATACATCCATGGTTCAAGCTTCCTGAAACTTTCATTTCCTGAGTTCTCTATTATTGCAGGTATAGCGCCTCTGTGTGGTCACATACAGGAAGGAGAAAGGAAAACAACATCTTTTAAAACAGGGGTGTCCAAACATTTTCCCCTGAGGGCCACATAAAGAAACATATATGGCTGTGCCCCTCACTACAAGTTCATTTAGCAAAATCAATCAAATGTAGGTGAATTATGCCTGATGATTGAATTATGCTTTAAGAAACAAACAGCCTACACCATAGGGTTTCATTTATTTAATTACAGAAAGTGTTGGCAGCTCATTCCTTAAAACAGAAGCCTCAGACTGCTCATCATAAGGGGAAATATGAGTGGTCTATTTCAAGCTTGTTATCTAAATAGGTTATTAGGCTTTATTTCTTTTTAATCAACTAAGATTTGTTAGAAGATGTTTTCAACTTTAATAGAATGAATCTATTGGAAAAGTGGGCTTAGTCACACATGACTGTGTAATATATGTTTACATTTATATTTAAGAAGTACAATATAAGAAAAGCACAAGTTTCATGTGTGGGCCGTATTTAATTATACTTTTAGAATTTGCTTTTTTTTTTACATGAAGTTTTATGTACAAATTAACTGTATATTAAAGGTGGGGTATGTAATTTATTTCAGAAACACTTTTTGTTATATTCCATGGAATGCTCTTAACATCCCGATAGCAATGAATACATTAAATGCTTTGACAATAAATACATAACAACATTTCATCTGTGGAAGCCGTGGCGCTGTAAAAAGCACGACCAATCATCTGAGCCGGCCCGGCTAAAATAACTGGATGGCCTACCTGCCTGTCAGCCTTCCATCTGTGCACAAACTTATCTCGTGCCCTCATTGGTCATGTGCGCGTTCGTGTGTGTTGGAGGAGGGGCTCTGTAAGGAAGTGGCAGATTTTTTCCGGTTGTGTATTTTCAAATTCTAGCGCACTCGAGCTGGTTTCTCCAAAATGACCTACTCCACCTTTAATAACACATTTAGGAATTAAATAAAAACTGTGCACATAGTAATATAATATATAACGACAATAAAACTGTTTACATGTGTTTACCACAATATAAACATTAGTGTATTGGTATTAATAAAGATATTAATGATAACCTAACCCTAACCCAAAATAGATTATTGATATTTTTTATTCATATCTATATCCCTATGCAAGTATATTTTTAATTACTTTTTTACATTTTTTAATTCCACTGCTGTAATATGTAAAATAACATAGCGATTAAGCATGGTATTCTCTGTTTTGCACAATTATTCATATCAATTCAGATCTAATTGTGTCACGGTTTGGCTAGAAGCTGGGCCCAGCAGTCAGAACAAGATCTCAGTACTTTTATTTTGTTTTTCTCTATCATGTTGCCTTGTGGTTGTGAGTATTTTGTGGTTTGACTGGTGTTAGTGTGCCTCTCCGTCCCTGTTGGTTTCATTCTGCACTTTTACATGACACCTCTTATACCACACAGCGTGAACAAACCCGAAAATACATCAGCGTCCGAAACCATAAATCTGAATGTGAAACCGTGTGAAGCTTCGTGTCTGATGCACATTCACACTGTGGTTATTCTTTGTGTTTTTCTGTGGTTGTGCAGCTGGTGGGGTTTGTGTTCCTGGGTCTGGGCCTGTGGCTGAGGTTCAGCAATAGCACCAGAGCTATCTTTGAATTTGAGGCCCTCAACTCAAGTGCATTCGTTATTGGTCAGTACACATGATTTCACCAGAATAAACATATTGTGTGTCTGAAACATGTTTACTCACAGATTTTTATATCTTTTTTTAAAGCGGTGACTATCCTGATTATCACGGGCTCGGTGATGCTGATCGTGGTCGTGTTTGGAGACTACGGCGCCTGCAACGAGAAACGATGCGCTCTGCAAATAGTGAGACTTCTGTGTATACAGCCATATAGTATATAGAATATACAGCCATTTTATGTGATTGCAAAAGCCTGCCTTACACAACTGGCTTACTGTTGCATAAGTGCAGAACTCACTGTGAGATATGTTGTTTCCTTTGTCTAATAAGTAACCAAACATAACAACCTGAAAAGGAGCATAATCTTTCCTCTTACGTGTTAAGTTTAAAGGTCACCTACTGTATTATGAAAAAACGTTTATACATCAACATGTGTCCCCTCTTCTTCATGTCTCTTCTACATCAACATGTGTCCCCTCTTCTTCATGTCTCTTCTACATCAACATGTGTCCCCTCTTCTTCATGTCTCTTCTACATCAACATGTGTCCCCTCTGTGTAAAGAGATTCTGAAAGTTTCAGGAAAAAAGATTCTCTCTCTTTTTGTCCTGATCCATTTATATAAAAACCTGTCTGAAAATGAGCTGATCAGATTGCATCAGATGCTGCAATGATCTGTTTGGTGTTTGGAGCCAAACACTTCAGAGACATGTTCTGTATATATCTGAGACCTATAATATATTGATGAAAAACAGTATAATAGGGGACCTTTAAATGATCTATTCTCTGCTGCAATTTCATCGTTATTACTTCACTTCCTGACACCTGCTGCAAGACAGATATTTTCTGCAAATGTAGAACCACAAAGTATCATTACTCAGTTTCCTATTTAGAAAGTTCCACATGCGAGCGAGGAACAGAGAATGTATAAATATCCTTCAGTTTCTCAAGAAATCAGCTGGGTTTACTAACGGCTTCCTCTCTGTGTAGTTTTCAGTCCTGGTGTCCATCCTCGCAGGAGCTGTGGTTGTTTTTGGAGTGATTGCTTATTCCAGGTCAGGCGAGGTAAGATGGAAGGAAAACAAACAAGAAGAATAAATGTTTAAAATGAAAATACTTTATGTATGTTCTTGAAATTGTGTTTTATTTTTCAGATTGGATTGAGAATGGGGGAGTTCTACTCTAGCATATATTTTCTGTATGTGGCTAACGCTAACGGCGACCCAGTTCTTGCTGTCACTCTCACATTCATCCAAAAACTGGTAAGCACTTTATTTCCTTCTTCCATTTGTTAAACATTTCTAATTTCTAAATTTTAATTCAAAATTGTTGTTTGTCTTATATTGTTTCAGACTTGAGATGGCAACATGAATTACTCCTTACACCAAACCAGTGTTTTTAATATATTATCAAATAAAAGACAGCATGAAATGAACGATTAAAATGTAATACATTTTGTAAATACATAAATGAACCAACATTTTCTTTAAATAATTCATTTGAAAAATTATTTTAATTACTTCAATTTAAAAGTGCTACTTTACTAATTAAAAAAAACATGTTATCCATAAAAACTCTCTCTCTCTCAAAAAATATGAGTATCTAATAATATATTTTGAGTCAGTTTTTATTCTAAAAAAACCTCTTAATTCATTGCCTTATTTATATATTTGAAAATGTGTTTAAATGAGAGTAGATTTGCTTATTACTCATGTCTTTATTTACTTCCACATTGATTATATAATGTGAGATGTAAAATATGTGGTTGTGATTCTTATTTATTTAATTGTCAGTGTTTTAAATCTCCCTTCATCTCGTTCCTCTGTAGCTTCACTGCTGTGGAGCGACCGGGGTGAAGTTGTTAGAATTTGCCAAGGAAACCTGTCCCAAACCAGACACCATTTGGGAACACATCAAGATGGATGTAAGTTAATGCTAATTAGCATTTTACTGTCGTACTTTATTCTGTTAGCATGCTAATGAACTATGACAAATCCAAGCTTGTATATGTGTCCAGTATTGTATGAATTTGAGTTACGATATTTTTTAAGACACTTACAATGTGGGTTTACTTGTGTTACTAACAAAAAATTAGGGCTGCCCCCTAATAGTCGAATATTCACTCGTCGACTTTTCGTAGCAATTTTTCATTAGTCGATAAATATATATTATATACATTTTTTTTTTTAAAGAGCTGCATGTGCTATCACCTGTGTCACCTGGAAACCCTGAGACTTCATTCAGAGCGGAGCCTGGTCATTAAGTTAATTTGGTGAGGCAGGAAATTTAAAGTGTGGATCTTTCTGAGCGAGTAAAGGACGAGTCCCACAAGGTGACATGCAAACTACGACGCGTAAAAGTCTCCTCCATACCCACCATCAGAGCGCAGCTTCCTGAATGCCGGCTTCTTATCAAAACACGGAGCTTAATTATCGCGACAGCGTGTGTTACTTTCTCAGACTCTGAGGAAAACAGCAGCAGTGAGTCAGCCTAACTTTGTATCAACATATATAGACCTATAATATATCATCATTCTGACCTCAGAAAACGATAAAGCTTTAATTTCATGAGGGTTTTTTGCCGGCGCTCATATTTTCAGTGTTTCCGTTTCCTCTGTAGTATTTATTGGCTTTTTTATATTCAGATATGAATAATAGAAACTAGAACTTAATGTCCTCGCTGCTTGTTCACACACACAATAAGACTCCTTACCGGAGCTTCTGCTGTTTGAACCGCTGCGTCCGTGCGCTGTGACTCTTATGCTTTAATTTATATTTCAAAGGTTCATTATTAGTTTTATTTTATATTTTAACACAAAATTTGTATATCTGTCAGGTATCGTTTGATTCTAGTATTATATATGTTCACTTAAAGGGGACCTATCATGCAAAATGCACTTTTCTACGTCTTTTATACATGAATATGTGTCCCCGGTGTTCCAGGGAACTCACCAAGTGTCAGAAAACACAACCCTCTCTATTTTCCTCCATACCCAAATCTCTAAAAAAGGGGCTGCAACGGATCTGATAAAAACTGATCCAGATTTGAACACTGTCCTGACGTCAGGACAGTGGCGCTATGGCTATTGGGCCAACTCCACCAATCAGGAGGAGACAGCCACGGCCATTGCCGTTCGAAAGCGCTGGAGACGCTGTAGTACATATGCAAGGCCTGTAGGTGGTGCTGTTCTCACAGAATCAGCCCTTGCAAAAACAGAGCTAAAAAAGTGCAAATTGAGCGAAATGAGGCATGGCTAAAATGCATGATCTGTTTGGTATTTTGAAAAAAAGACAGTATTACAATGTTGGTTAACCTGTATTTGAAACTGACAAATAAATAAACACCTTTTTTCATATAATATTCGCCACGTTTACTAACATAGTTTTGCCTGTTAGCATGCTAGCAGTTAACTATGACAAAACTAAGTTTGTATATCCCTCCAGTTTTGTAGGATTTTGTGTTATGTGTTCACTTAAAACACTATTACAATGTAGGTTTACGTGTGTTTAAACTGACCAAAAATTAACATCTATTTTCCTTCTAATATTCGCCACGTTTACTATAATAATTATTCTTGTTAGCATGCTAGCAGTTAGCTATTACGAAACTAAGTGTGTATATCTTTCAAGTTTCGTTTGATTTTGAGTTATTATGTGTTCACTAAAAGACACTTACAATGTAGGTGTTTGAAACAGACAAAAAAAACACCCCTTTCCTCCTTCTCTTAGAATATTTACCACATTTAGTATCTTTGTTGCTAGCCTACCTTAGACTGTTAGCATGCTAGCAGTTAGCTATTACGAAACTAAGTTTGTATATCCCTCCAGTATTATAGGATTTTGAGTTAGTATGTGTTCACTCAAAACTATTACAATGTATGTTTACGTGTGTTTGAAAAAAAAAAACACCCCTTTAGTCTCTTTGTTGCTAGCCTATCTTAGACTGTTAGCATGCTAGCAGTTAGCTATTACAAAACTACATTTGTTTATCTGTTCAGTGTTGTAGGATTTTGAGTTATCTTTTTGTAAGACACTATAACATGTGGGTTTACATGTCTGACAACAAATAAACCTATTCTTTCCCTCTTTTTCTTAATTATTTGCCACATTTAATATCTCAGTTAGCCTGTTAGCATGCTAGCCGTTAACTATAATAAAACTAATGTTGTTTATCTTTCCAGTGTTGTAGGATTTTGAGTCATGATCTGTATTAACTTTAGAAATTAGTACATTCTAGGTTTATATCTGTTAAACCGACAATAATCCCCTTTTTTCTTGGTGCTATACAGGCTTGTCCTGGGGTGATTATTAATGTCTTCAACGACAAAGCACCGCTGGTGATGGGCCTGTTCGTCGGAACTGGAGCTCTTCTGGTAAGCAGATGTGTTGCATGCTTCAAAATTGAAATGCAGTAAATAGATGGTGAACAAAATGTACTAATTTTTTTTTTCTTTTTTCTGTATAGTCACATGTTTACTTAAAAATGAGATACCTAAAACAGTTAAGCACACAAATGTGCAAATGACAGCAAAGTGTACTCTACCTTCAAAAAATGAATACTAATGGTTTTTGTTTATTTATAACTAAAGAAAATATCAATTACATAATATAATTGTTGCCACGTTTACTATCTCAGTTTAGCCTATTAGCATGCTAGCACTTAACTATGACCTGAATCGGTATATTTGCGAAGACACAAGTTACAAGAGAAATAAAATAATTTCGAATAAATATTTAAATTAACCTTTGATTGGACTGTCCAAGAACACTAATGGCACTTTTCCACTGCAGGACCTAGCACGGCTTAGTACGGTATAGTTAGGCCTTGGTAGGCCAGGTTCACTTTATGCTGCGTTTCCATTACAGTGTAGTACCAGGGGTAGTAACTATAGTAACGCAGTGTAGGCGGGGCGATGGGCTGTTCGGCGGGCGGAGCGACGCTGCGTAAAACTGCCGTGACGTCATCTTCAATGCGAACCACAAAACCAAAACATCAGCCGTTAGCTGTTAGCACTCAGAGCTCACAGCTCCTCATATCTGTTCAGAAACTAGACAAAAGTTAAACAAGTACAAACCACAGACTGTCTGTGTCATGGTGAATACAGTCGCTGGTGTATTTATGTCTGTATAGGCCGTTGTGAGTGTGGACGGTCGGAGCATATACTGCGTTAGCTTAGCCTGATCGATCCGATCTCCATTCAGAAAAAAAAATCTTTTTGAAACGTGTATTACAATTAAATCACGGTAAAATGTGTTCATTTTGTTGTAGTTGTAGCCTCCTTGCCAGCGAAGCACCAAAAAAAAACGTGCTACGTGCTGCAGTGGTCCATAAAAAAAAAAAAGGCCTTACTTTTACTGCATACAGAATATCTTAAATAATTGTATGTCAATGTTTATTTTTGATTCGACTTATGTTTTGTAATTGCATAAAATCTGAATCTGCAAAGTAACTAAAGCTGTTGAACAGTTCCTCAAAATTGTACACAGGTACAGTACTTTAGTGTACTTCATTTCAGTCCACTACTGCACAAACAACAATTAACAAGTATTTAGCATTGAATTAGCATTAGCTGTTACGCAATTAGCAAATTGTGGACACAATAAAGAGTAGCGAGTCTTGTATATCTTGTTGAAAAAAACAGCTCCATACATTTTGAACATGCTTCATTTTGTCGTCTCTCGTTGTTCATAAAGTTATTGCTTGTGGTCTAACCCCTATGCTCTCCTTTCTCTCTTTAAAAAAACTCCTCCCCCTGTCTTGATTCAAACAATTTTTTTCACAATATTTTTCACTCTCTTCATCACTGCTCCCCAAAAGCTCCTGGCTATGATTTGCAGCTCAATCCTTGCTAAAAAGCTCAAGACCCCATCCTCTCCTCAGTACATCATCCTGACTCAGCCTCAAACATCTCAGCTTGAATATATCCCCACCTCCACCTCCATTTCTTACTCTTTCCCCGACCAGGAGCCGGTGGTCTTCACCCCTCTGACTGTGGCCAACATCCCCATAGTTATAACTTAGAGAGCACTTTTACCACAATGCTCGGGCATAGAGGATACAGATCTGGGTTTATTTTCACATTCACATTACTTCATGTTCATCTCTTCTGTGCATGCTCACTGTGGGGTCTCTTCAGCTCCCTTTAAAGGAAAAATCCACCCTTAAGTAAGTAAAATGTATTTATAAAGCGCTTTTCCCAGACATAGTCACAAAGTGCTTGACAAAGCATTAAAACATCATACGAATCATGAAAGCTTAAATGAACACAACAAAGCCACGTGTTAAGAAGTGCTAAAAACACAATAGGCGCTTTCACACCGCAGTACTTTTCCCACAAAGGTTCATCAGAACTTAGTTCATCAGAACTCTTTAGTTCTCATGAACTAAGTACAGATCGCGTTCACACCGGAATAAGTTCCCGGGGAAGGATTAGGCAAATGAAGCCGCTGACTTCACTTCTTCTTCTTTGGGTTTACTGGCAGGCCGCAAACAACTTCACGACGTATACTGCCACCCGAAGTCCCCGGCCGGAAGTCCCCGGAGTTGGGGACTGGCTTCAGTAGAAGCTGCTGGGACTCTCAGACATTTCGGAACTATATCGGAACTAAAGTGGGAAAATTACTGCGGTGTGAGCGCGCCTAATGGCTTATTAACAAGCTTTTTTTAGTTACAGTGCATACAGAGATGTATTTCAACTAAAAGTAATACAAAAGCATGCATCACTAAGCTACATAATAAATCAACTTCTCCACTAACTATTCAACCATAACATGGAAATTAGTTTTTTGCTCTCCCACCAGTTGCATCAAAAGAAATTATAATTTCAACCTCAGGATTTTATTTCTAATCTGCTTGTATTAAAAAAATACATATAAAAGGGTTGGATTTTTCCTTAAAGTGTCTTCATATCTCATTTTGCCTTCCACACAAGTCTCTTTGTGTGACTGCATGCTAATTGCTAGCCTGGGCTGGTACCTGTCTTACATCAAAACTCATTCTGTGGCTGGTGTGACCCGGGTGAGGAAGCCTAGTATTCCCATCCCTCCTCTTCACCTCCCCTCCTCCCTCTGTGTCTGAATGACAGGTTGTTGCCCTGGTCTGCAGCATTGTCCTCCTGGCACAGACCAAGAGAGAGCAGCAGGAGATCACTGCACGATATACAACCGTGTACTAACAACAGGAGTTCAACCCTCATCAGCGAAGACACAGCACTGGATTTCAAGCTTGAAAAACGTTACAAACATGTGTCTCTGTGGCTCAACTCCAAACTGATCCCGACACACTCTCCCCACTTCGACTCTGTTTCCAAAACCCTCCAACAGGGAGTTATCAAACCCCCCCAACAGGGAGTTATTAAACCCTCCAACAGGAAGTTATCAAACCCTCCGACAGGAAGTTATCAAACCCTCCGACAGGAAGTTATCAAACCCTTCGACAGGAAGTTATCAAACCCCCCCAACATGAAGTTATCAAACCCCCCAACAGGGAGTTATCAAACCCTCCAACAGGGAGTTATTAAACCCTCCAACAGGAAGTTATTAAACCCTCCAACAGGGAGTCATTAAACCCATCCAACAGGGAGTTATCAAACCCCCCAACAGGGAGTCATTAAACCCATCCAACAGGGAGTTATCAAACCCTCCAACAGGGAGTCATTAAACCCATCCAACAGGAAGTTATCAAACCCCCCAACAGGGAGTCATTAAACCCATCCAACAGGGAGTTATCAAACCCTCCAACAGGGAGTTATCAAACCCTCCAACAGGGAGTTATCAAACCCTCCAACAGGGAGTTATTAAACCCTCCAACAGGAAGTTATTAAACCCTCCAACAGGGAGTCATTAAACCCCCCAACAGGAAGTTATCAAACCCTTCGACAACCCCCAACAGGGAGTTATCAAACCCTCCAACAGGGAGTTATTAAACCCTACAACAGGAAGTTGTCAAACCCCCCAACAGGAAGTTATCAAACCCCCCAAAAATAAGTTATCAAACCCTCCAAAAATAAGTTATCAAACCCTCCAAAAATAAGTTATCAAACCCTCCAAAAATAAGTTATCAAACCCTACAACAGGGAGTTATCAAACCCTCCAACAGGAAGTTATTAAACTCACCAAAAGCATGTTTTTGAAACCCTCTAACAGGAAGTAGGTAAATCCTCAGACAGGAAGCAATTAAAGATAGGATGAAATCCTCTTTAATTGTCAAACATGCAGAGCACAGCACACACAGTGAAATGTGACCTCATTTAACCCATCCTAGAACTAGGAGCAGTGGGCGGCTATTTTACAGCCATTATAAACCCAGAGAGCATTTTAATGATAGAGAGGTTTAATAAAAGGAAATAAACGCCAGGGATTTTTATTATAATTACTACTTTCTGTCAGAGATGCTGATTCCAGCAGAAAACTGATTTATTTTCCTAGCTGTTGACAATTATCAATATTTTATTGTGCCCTTTCTTTTGTATTTTCATGCAGTATCTTAGTGGAATGGATGTTGAGTGTAATGATCTATTATTCATCCATCTATGAACGGACAGGCCTCTTCATCATCGTGGACATACGATAAATAATGTGACACATCCGTTTAATAACAAACTGTGAGGAAGAGTATGGGATACTGTAGGAGGAGATAGATTCCATACCTGTTACACTTTTTTTTTGTATCCATGTTTTTTTCCTCCAATGCTTTTAACGTTTTTGTGGAAGAGGTAATTACTCACTGAGCCACTGGAAATATTGTTTTTAATGAATATTGTATGCATAAATGAGAAAGGGAGCATGTTCTGTAAATTCCATTTAGATAATATGAAATGTTTACGTAAGGTCGGGTCGTATATGTCCCTGTCGACACCTTAAAGTGGGAATTGTTTTGATTTTTCAATAGTTTTGCATTCCATAACATTTCTTTTTTACGTGATTGTGCATCAGGAGGACCACAGGATTCAACTTGAATAAAGTAAAGGACCTTTTTGAGTGTGACATCAGTCGTCAGGTACTGTAAGAGGCTGTTAATCTTACTGTATAAACTAAGTGTATATGCTGCCTTCCTGTAAACACTGCTTTGGTTCAAAGGGAAACACCATTTCATTAATGACAATTATATTCACATTTTGTATTCCTTCAAGTGCCTGCAAACATTTTTGTGATCAAATGCATCACGTGTCTTGTTTAGTATTGCTTGTCCTTCTCTTTGCACAGTAGTTTTTTGCACTATATGTTTTCTAATAAATATTCCATACTGGGCTTTTCCCCTTTTCTTCACCAAGACTTGTGTTTCTGTTATTTCCATGAAACAAAACCAGAATGCAGGTGTGTAAAAGTGTTTATTTCATTTCTCACATGTCACTGTCAGGACCTGTGAGGGAAAAACACAAGTTAGTGTCGTGATAAACGAGTCCTCGAGACATTTTATCCACATTTTTTGTTTTCACATTTGATTCTTCGCTAGTCTTGTATTGTGCTTTAGGAAGGTGTGTTTGTAAAGTCATTGGAGAATATGCAATACTAAGTGAGACATAATTACTTAATTGGGTAATGGGAATGCTAGCAGACACATGTAGATAAAAGCCATAGATTCTTCATAAGCAATTCTTAGGCAGTTTAAGTAGCCCTCATTTTCAGGAACTTCTGGATTTTAGCATTTGCAGACCATTTACATGCACACAAACCTAGATAACACACTACAGGAAAGGGAAAACCCCAACAAGTACACCAGGCCCAGTTTAAAATATAAAAAAATGTTCACTGGGCATTTGAAAGGTAAATTATGTAGCCCCATTTCACTTATTTTAAGTCTTAGGAACCCGTATGAATATTTTTCAATTAATATACGACTACAATCTTGTGAGAAGACTAGCAGTCCTCAGTTTCTCTTGGGTGTTTCCTGTGTGTTGAACTTACTGTGGACGCAGCTTATGGTGCAGTTAACATCTGCAGCATAGCACACCTCTGTCAAACACATGAAGGAGATCTGAGGAAACAAACAAGAACACATTGAAACGGTTTTAATAGACAATAAAAGTAAAGCCAGTATCATGCATTATCTGTTAAGGGTTTTAAGAGACAGGCAAAAAAACGTTTTCTCGTGTACTTTTAAGTGTTCTGGCTGTTTCATATAAGCAGAGATGGCAAAAGTACACACATCCTTTACTCAGAAGTACAGATACTCGTGTTTAAAAATACTCTGGTAAAAGTAGAAGTACTGACTAAACTTCTTTACTCAAGTAAAAGTAAAGAGGGCTTTGAAATGTACTTAAGTAAAAAGTACCCATAACTAGCAGCTGTTTTAAAGAGTACCTGACCTCCCTTTATATTAATAGAACAATAATGTCATTGTTAGCTAATGAATGTTTCCATGCTGAACAACGGCAACATGACAACGTTTTCATTGGTCCCTCTTCTTTAGAGAAGACCAGGAAATGATGGATACACGGATCGTGTTCAAATCAATAGGCACGCAATGACTCTAAATAATAATGATCACGCCACCAAACACACATTCAAACTAAAGGAACCAGCCTGTTTGGGAAATGTAAGAAGTAGAAAGTACAGGTATTTGTGTTCAACATGTAAGAAGTAGAAAGTACAGGTATTTGTGTTCAACATGTAAGAAGTAGAAAGTACAGGTATTTGGGTTCAACATGTAAGAAGTAGAAAGTACAGGTATTTGGGTTCAAAATGTAAGAAGTAGAAAGTACAGGTATTTGGGTTCAACATGTAAGAAGTAGAAAGTACAGGTATTTGTGTTCAAAATGTAAGAAGTAGAAAGTACAGGTATTTGTGTTCAACATGTAAGAAGTAGAAAGTACAGGTATTTGTGTTCAAAATGTAAGAAGTAGAAAGTACAGGTATTTGTGTTCAAAATGTAAGAAGTAGAAAGTACAGGTATTTGTGTTCAACATGTAAGAAGTAGAAAGTACAGGTATTTGTGTTCAACATGTAAGAAGTAGAAAGTACAGGTATTTGTGTTCAACATGTAAGAAGTAGAAAGTACAGGTATTTGGGTTCAACATGTAAGAAGTAGAAAGTACAGGTATTTGTGTTCAACATGTAAGAAGTAGAAAGTACAGGTATTTGGGTTCAACATGTAAGAAGTAGAAAGTACAGGTATTTGTGTTCAAAATGTAAGAAGCAAATGTAAAAAGTCATTAAGAATAAGTAGTGGAGTAAAGTACTGATACCAGAAAAATGTACTTAAAGGTAGGGTAGGTAAGTTTGAGAAACCGGCTCGAGATCGCTGGAATTTGAAAATACACAACCGGAGAAAATCTGCCACTTCCTTACAGAGCCCCTCCTCCAACACACACGAACGCGCACATGACCAATGAGGGCACGAGATAAGTTTGTGCACAGATGGAAGGCTGACAGGCAGGTAGGCCATCCAGTTATTTTAGCCGGGTCGTGCTTTTTACAGTACTACGGCTTCCACAGATGACATTTTATGGATTTTTTGTCAAAGCACTTAACATCCCGATAGCAATGAATATCTTAAGAGCATTCCATGGAATATAACAAAAAGTGTATCTCGAGCCGGTTTCTCAAACTTACCTACCCCACCTTTAAGTACAGTAACAAAGTATTTGTACTCCACTACTTCCCACCTCTGGATATAATGTCCTCTTCATCATTATTGTCCTGTACGAGCATGTTAGTTCAGAGGGAGTTACCTCGGGGTCCTGCAGGTGAGAGGACCCTCCTTCAGTCAGGGGGGGGGGGCTTTCAGAGGGCAGAGACTGGAGGGCAGGGATCAGGATCCTCTGGGTGGGGGGGGGGTCGGAGCGAGAGGGAGGGAGCAGCTGGGAATCACCACGACAACTGAACAGAGAAGAAATGACATGGAGAAAGCAGGAAATGCTCCTTTAAAAAACACTTTTAAACTTTGCAATACGGACAAAACATAGACTTGTAAATATATAATTTAACTGCAATACTCAATAAACTCTATTACACATTACAGTGAAAATGTAATGCAAATATCTGGTTATCAGCATCAAGCATCTTTACTAACATTACACCACTTTTTATTTTTCAATATAGACATTTTTGCTTTTGACTTCTTGCATAAATCTTATTGATAATTTTGTATATATTCTATAATTACTGAATAACCCCTCAGGAATGAATACAGTTTTCTGATTCTAATTTACAGGGAATAGTTTGACTCAACAATACATAAGCACAATCCACACTAAAATATCAAAAGTCTGCTTTTTTCATCTGCACTGTTATCGCTGTAACAAAACAATGCATCCACTGTGGGATGAATGAAGGGTTTCAGATGTCCTACTGTTGAGTTATTAGAGATTCATCTGTTTATTTTATACTCTTACACTAAAAGTCACTTCCTGTATTGTCGTGATAAAATGGACATGCGCAATAAACGTGCCACTTCCGGTTGAAGCAATGCCGACGGGGTGTGCGTGTGTGTATACTATGTTCACGGTACTCCTAAGATTGACACTCCTTTGTGCTCCAGTCAGTCCTCTCAGTAAACACAGAGCTGAATCCAGATCAAATGCACGCTGAAGGCTCTTTGAGCAGGTTTTCTCTCACTGATTGTGCGGTTATGTCAAATGTTTGTTATTTGTTTTTCATGTATTGATATTTGTCTGTGTTGATGTCACACATGGAGCTGCAAGTCACATTTCAGACTTGATCTGACCATTCAAGTATTATCGTATCGTAAGATGGCAACGTCAACACCTACCCATCGTAGACGAACCTCCAGCTGCTGTACGGTGCGTGTGTGAACGCCAGGCAGGAGTGAACCAGCAGCAGCAGCAGCAGGTGGGGGGCGGGGGGGTCCTGAAGGCTCAGCTGCAGGTAAACAGATCCTCCTCCAATCACGCTGAGAGGAAGGTGAGCCTCAGGGTGGAAGCTGCTGAACGACTCGTCTGTGTAAAAAAAAAAAAAAAAAAAGAAATCTAAATTTGAAACTCAAAATTTCGATGTAAATATTGCTAAAAATACATTCTGAGGTACGTGTGCTTCAATTGAAATTCTCCACATTGAAAATGTTCAGTTACTTTGAAGATTTTAATTAATAATACAAAATATATCAGATTTGTATCCAACAGGTATTACAACATTAATGCATCAATCATTTTAAACACAATAATAATATATATTTTTACTGAACTAGGCGATACGATAACAGGTAAGATTTTGATGCAGGACTTTTACTTGTAACTGAGTTTTCATACTGTAGTGTAGTATTCAGGGTATATGCAGGAATCCTTAAGTCAAATGTAAAACCTTTTAAGACCTTTTTTAAGACCCTTTCCATACATTTAAAGACCTCATCGCCACTTGGAGTTTTAACCGGTTACATTGGCGACACACTTTACCTCACATTGACTATATACAGTATTGATTGTCCTTCCTCCTTATCTTCCAACCATTTGGACGCAAACTTGCATTTCCCCATAACGATGTTGCTTAACAACCGGCATAAACGGAGCTTCGCGCGCTATCAAGCAGTGAGCGTGCGATGTCCTGTTCAGATGACGTCAAACCCAACGGGAAGCCATAAATAAACTACACAGAATCACACTACACACCTACGCAATGATTACATTCAGGCAAACTGTAGAATACAACCTCTTTGGACAATTCATATACTTATTGAAAATAAGCTACAAAATGTAATACCTTGGGAAATGCCGTTTAATACTTTTTAATAGCCTTCATTTTTGCTAAATTGATTTATCAACTTTTAATACTTTTTAAGACCCCGCGGACACCCTGGTATTGCTACTTTCATTTTAGTAAAACATATGTATAGTACTTATTCAACCTCTTGTTATATCAAGAGAATACAGTGGAGACGATCACCTGTGGCGATTCTCAGCTGCACAGTGACGGTGGAGACTGGAGACTGAACAGGAGGAAGAGGAGGATTCATCACGTGGAGCCTCTCTTCACCTGGAGAGCCCGGAGAGGAACTACACTGCACCATCAACCTGAGGACCAGCAGAGGAACGTGACATGCGTTTCATTTATTCAACAGGGGACAGTGCACATTAATCAACATTTCTGTAAATGTGACCGTTTGCCAAGAGGCTATTTTCCATCTGTAGTCCCTGGACAGATTCTGTAAGTCAACCTAAAGACACATTTCATTTTAAACAAGTAAATACAATCAAATAGAAACATGCAACATACAGTACTGGAATACTTAATTAAAAAAAATCCTCATTCTCCGTCACAGTAACTTCTATAATGTTTATTAAACTTCACAATCAGCAGTCATATCCTTTTAACACTTATTATTTGATATGTCAGTATAACATTTTCATGCACTGTAATGATTGAAATGTTCCTGCTATGGGACAAATGAAGGATTTCTGATTTAAGTAAAAGCAGCATGTGTTGGAATCAGAGCATGATATCTCTCTCCCAGCCAAATGCCATTTAAAAAAGACATACAAAAATTAATCTGACAAATAAGCCAATACTCATTTGATTTAAATATTTAAAAGAAAGGCAGATGACTGTCTTGTGATGCGTGTAAATCCTCTGTGAAGGAACGCATTCTAGTGTTTTCTGTGTAAATAATTAAAAAGGAGAACACATTTGATATAAAACAAGGAAATAAAACTGTCAAACGCAGAATAAGTAATTAACATAATGCCGACCTGGCAGGAGAGATCTCAGATCTGTGGTCCAACACAGAGTCCGGCACCACGAAGATCAAATGCTGCCCCGATGTGCAGTCTGTCGGAAAACACACACGGAAATTAAATATACTCACGAACTGTGATGTAAAATGTCTGATTATTTCGTTCATATCCTAATTTCTACTTCACTTCTTCTCAAAGGAAATGTTTTATCTTTTTATTTTTATTTAAAACTTTGACATTTTATTTATTTATTCTAAAATGGAGTAACTCGTGAAACTGAGTTTTGCCCAGGATAAATAAAGCATTCTGATTTAAAAATGCAACATTAAATTAATGAATATTTAAAGTGGACCTATCATGCTGTATTGGAAACATATATTCTAGGGCCATACCTATACAAAACATGAACTGTGAAGTTTTGTGCTTAACATACCAAACAGTTCACCCATTGTAGCCATGCCTCATACTGCCCAAACCCCTCTTTTGCAGCCCTGTTAGAGAAACACGGATTTTGGGTCCTTAGCTTTTTTTTTTTTTAAAAGAGGCGGCGAAGCTAATGCCTGATCAGAATTCTACCGGAGATAAAGTTAAATTCTGCTGTGATAAAACGCCATCCTGTTCTAAACCACATCAAGGATTATTTCTGAAACAGTATGGAGCTCAAATGCTTTGGTCGACATTTCAGATATTGCGTCATATCGGACGCAAATCTGGATCAGCTTCGTTGTACCCCCGTTTTTAGCGATGTGGGTACGGAGGAAAAGAGAGGGTTTTGTTTTCTGACACTTTTAGAGTTCCCTGACACAGATTATTATCAAAAGACATCAAAAAGTGCATTTTGCATGATAGGTCCCCTTTAAAGCTATGGCAAAAAAAATGATGCTGGGCCAAACTGAGTATGTGTAATCGAGTGCAATACTTCTGGAGATTTTACAGCTTTGAGTATTTCTACATCACCTTTCATTTCACCATCCATCCTCTTCCCCACTTCCTCTCCATCAGGAAGCCCAAACGCATCAACTTGCTGTTGATGAGTGACATAATATGGATTGAGGCTACGAAGCTGCTGAGGCATGCTGGGAAATCCTGCTTCAGCGGCATGATCCAACCCACTGAGGTCAGAGGGAAGCTGAGATTCTGAAGCTTTTTCAAAGTTCATATTGCCCGCAGGATGCATCTCCTGAGGGTCTACGAACGCTTCAGGCTCTCCCCAAGCAATGTGAGGGAAGTAATAGTGCGGGTATGGATAGGGGTATGGAGGAAGAGGTGCCTCAGGTGCAGATTTCAGAGGACTTTCTGAAGGGCTTGAAGCAACATCAGAGTTCTCTGGGAATTCATAGCTTAGAGGATTAGTTGGAGACCATTCTTGAGAATCGGGGTCTTGAGTTGGACCAGTTTGAGGGATTTTAAGGTGTTGGTAGTAGTATTGATAGTATGGATAGAAGGAGTCGTGTTCATCATGGACTTGTGACGAGCGAGGATGAACAGAGGCGTCAGACTTTTGATCTTCGGACAAATCTGGATTCGCTTCCAGACTTAGAGGCGGCAATCTTTGAACATCGCCCCGAGCAATATGTGGAAAGTAATAGTACGGGAATGGATAAGGATGTGGAGGATAAGGTGCATCAGATGCAGAAGCTTTTGGAGGACTTTCTGGAGGGCTAGAAGTAAAAGTTTCCGCCTCTGGTCCAGACTGAAGAAGTTGGTGTGAGTTCTCTAGGAATTCACGGTTTTGAGGAAGATTAGTTAAAGAGAGTTCTCCAGGCTCTTCAGGACCTGGATCGGTGTCTTGAGGTTTGCCAGGAAGAGGGATTTTAAGGTGGTAGTGACAGTATGGATTAAAGGTGTTGGGTTGTGACGATCGAGGATGAACGGAGGTGTCCGGTCCCGTTTCTGGATCGAGAGGAACCGATCTTTTAACATCATCTCTAGCGATATGCAGGAAATAATAGTATGGAAATGGATATGGAGGAGGGGGTGCATCAGTTGCAGAAGTTTTTGGAGGATTTTCTGGAAGACTAGAAATAAGAAAAGCAGTCTCTGTCACAGGCTGAGGAAACTGGTGTGAAATCACTCCATGGAGAACCTCTGACTGTTGCGTTGGGAATTCTGGGTTAAGAGGATTACTTAAAGCTGGTTCTTCAGGACCAGGTTTAGGGTCTTGATGTGAAGCACGTAGAAGAATTTCAGGCTGCTGGTAGTAGTGATAGTATGGATTGAAGGAGTTGGGTTCGTTGTGGACTTGTGACGATCGAGGATGAACTGAGGTGTCCGACTTTTGATCTTCTGACAAATTTGGAGTCATTTCGGGATTGAGAGGAGGCAACCTTTGGGCCTCTTCCTGAACAATATGTGGGAAGTAATAGTACAGGAATGGATAGGGATGTGGAGGATGAGGTGCATCTTGTGCAGATATATTTGGAGGACTCTCTGGAAGACTAGAAGTCAAAGAGGCCGCCTCAGGTCCAGGCTGAAGGAACTGGTGAGATTTCTCTTGGAACCCAGGGTTTTGAGTAAAATGAGTTAAAGATCGTTCTCCACGTGCTTCAGGGCCTGAATCAGGGTCTTGGGGTAGACCAGGTTGAGGGATTTTAGGGTGGTAGTAGTGATAGTATGGATTGAAGGGGTTGTGTTCGTCGAGAACTTGTGATGAACGAGGATGAATGGAGGTGTCCGACTTTTGATCTTCCAACAAATTTGGAGGAGGCAATCCTTTGTCCTCGCCCGGAGCCATATGTGGGAAGTAATAGTACGGGAATGGATACGGATGTGGAGGATAAGGTGCTTCAGGTGAATTCGTTTTTAGAGGACTTCCTGGAGGACTAGAAGTTAAAGAAGTTGCCTCAGCATCAGATGAGCGAGGATGAACTGATTTTGAATTCTGATCTTCTGACAAATTTAGAGTCGTTTCGGGATCTAAAGAAAGCAACCTTTGGGCCTCTTCTGGACCAATATGTGCGAAGTAATGGAAAGGATAGGGATGTGGAGGATGAGGTGCATCTGGTGCAGATGTTTTTGGAGGACTGTCTGGAAGACTAGAAGTCAAAGAGGCCATCTCAGGTCCAGGCTGAAGGAACTGGTGAGATTTCTCTTGGAACCCAGGGTTTTGAGTAAAATGAGTTAAAGATTGTTCTCCAGGTGCTTCAGAGCCTGAATCAGGGTCTTGGGGTAGACCAGGTTGAGGGATTTTAGGGTGGTAGTAGTGAAAGTATGGATTGAAGGGGTTGTGTTCGTCGTGGACTTGTGACGAGCGAGGATGAACGGAGGTGTCCGACTTCTGATCTTTGGACAAATTTGGAGTCATTTCGGGATCGAGAGGCGGCAATCTTTGGTCCTCGCCTCTAGCGATATGTGGGAAGTAATAGTACGGGAATGGATAAGGATGTGGAGGATGAGGTGCAGATGCTGGAAGGGTGGAAATTGGCGGAGAAGCAACCTCCATCACTGGCTGAAGAAAGTGGGAGTTCTCTAGGAATCCCGGGTTTTGAGGAGGATTGGTAAAAGATTGTTTTCCAGGCTCCTCAGGACCTGGATCGGGGTTTTGAGTCGTGTCAGGAAGAGGTATTTTAGGGTGGTGGTAGTAGTGATAGTATGAATTTAAGCCGTGGCTCGAAGGCTGCAGAGAAGGTGCTTCATCTTGAACGGTTACTGGGGAAGGAGCAGCACGCAGCTTCATCGAGACGCCCATCACATGAGTTTCTTGCGGATCTGGATACACTGGATGTGAATTTTCTACATTTTCTGGAGATGACTGAGGAGTGGGGATATTGAAATGTGCAGGAATCTGGTGGGGGTCGTCTGGAGGCGAATCAACAGGAGCTAATGAAAGCCCAGCAGTGGAAGATGATTCATGAAGAGGAGGGTACTTGTGGTGGTATGTAGGGTGGGGGTAGTTAAGAGGGGCCAAGTAGAAAGGTGGGGCCCATAGAAAAGACTCCAGGGATTCAGGAATGTTCCCCGTTTGAAGATGAGGAGGATGATGGGAAGGTCCGAGTTCTTCAGGGGGAGACACAGGACAGGCCACTGTGAAGGTGTTTTCTTCTATCTGAAGAGACAGAGTGTGTTTTCCATCCTGAAAAAGAGAGATTTTCTTTGTGAGAAAGTTTACAGAAAATTACCACGTATGAAATTATGTTTAGGACTGGTTAGTCAATTTGATTCCATATCTCTATGCATTTTTCCATGCTGCATATAATGTATAGATGGGTTCAATATAAAGTATTCTTAGGTTCTTTAATCATTTTACAGCAGTGAATTTGTAGCATTGCGTGTTAAAAAGAAAAGGAAAAAAATGTAGTTTTAAAAAAAAAAAAAAAAAAAAAAACTTGATTTAAGTCACATTTTCTAAAATCTCGAAAGGTGGTTTGGGTCAAACTGAGTAATGTGATTAATACAAGTGATTTTTCAACATTTTATATAGTATATCGTTTCCAGATTAATCATGAGCGCTTAAAGTATTAAAGGTCCCATGTCATGGCCATTTCTACTGATCATAATTCCATTGTTGAGGTATACTAAAATAAATGTATATTGTGCTATTTTCCAAAAGCACATTGGTTTCTCATACAGCATCTCTGTATCGTATGTGTATTCACTCTGTCCTAAACGGCTTGTTGGAGCTCCTGCCCCCCCCCCCCCCCCCTTCCTGTGAGCCCAGTGGCCGTCTGCGAAACCCAGCCCGAAACACACACACACACACACACCCACAGCCTGGCTGGGAGTTTGTGCGTGTGCCCAGGCTGAGTTCCGCGGTGTCTCGCTGACCCCACACCAGTGAGCCAGCTCAGTGTCCCGCTCCTCGCAGCAGCGAGCCTCGCAACCTCCCTCCGACTGTGTGTAAGGAAGTCCGCGGATTGGTCCAAACGTAACGGCTCCGCGGACGTTAATATACCATACCCGAAATACGTCACTATACCCAAGAAGTAAACGATGGAAAATGAGAAATCTCCAACGAGGCGTTCTGGGGCAGCATAGAGAGGTCTTTTCTGTGTTAGAGTTTTACTCGCTACAGGGTGTACTTTGAGGGTTTGTGACTCTGCAGACCGTTTACATGCAGAAAAAGCTACATAACACACAAGGGGACTGGTAATAACCGGAAAAGCATGACATGGGACCTTTAACATATACAGCCCTTCTACAAATGGGCCCCTACGTACAATATATGTAGTATCGTCTTATGAATAGTGACTTCTTGAAACTCACCTCGTCTGTGATGCCACAGGTAATAAATGGAGCAGCGATTATAATCTCAGCGTCTCGTCTCTCCACTGTGTATCCACACCACTCCTCTAACACCAACAGGGGCATCCATTTTCCTCTGACTGTAACGAGAAGGAAAAAAACATTGTTTTAAAAGACCATCTAGAGCAGGGGTGTCAAACTCAAGGCCCTCAATTTATGTGGCCCCCAAGAGCTTCCAAAGAATATAACATACTGTAATTGTTGAATATTTGCTTTCAATTATTTGGCCTTGACTTCTGCTTTCAGACGTAGTTATTTATGAAGTTATTAGCAGAGCTGATAATGATCTAATGCAAAGCCAATAATGTAATATAATACATTATTTAATATATATTATATATGCATGTATATTTATATAGTCTTAAAGTTACAACCGGCCCTTTGAGTGCAACCATAATGCTAATGTGGCCCGCAATGAAATTGAGTTTGACACCCCTGATCTAGAGAAAGAAAATCATTCAACCGAGTGATAAAATAATGAAAGATATATCATTAGATTCAAGGCTTGTATTGTCATGTGTACATAGCTACAGTGTAGTTATGACAATGAAAATATTAGGTCACAGGCTCCTCCAACAGAGCAACACAATAAAACAGAAAATAGTGCAAGTAAATTACCTTTTTTTTTTTTAACAGGATGAGTGAGGGTAGAATTACATTACATTCAAGATTTCATGACACCAAGAAATGAATTGGCAACAAAATTTGACTTAAATGAGATGGTACCAATTAATACTTCATCCCCACTCATTTTTTTAAAACAAACACTGACCAAACCTCCCCTCCCCCCTCCCCCATGCCTCCCTTCCCAAACTGACACTCACACGAGATGTTTAGTGCAAGTCAATTACCGTTCACCCTGATTTCCTCAGCAGCATGGGGTCCCTGCACAGTGAGGGTCATCCCATGCAGAGAGCAACAGAGAGACGAGGGTCCCGAGGCCCGAGGCTGGATCTGAGGGGTCGGGCAGGACATCTTCACTGGAGTCCCCCTCCACAGCAGGGGTAACACAAAACCCTCCTCCTGAACACAAACAGCATCCTTTGATACTCAGTCTGCCGTGAGCAGAGATGGCAAAAGTACACACATCCTTTCCTCAAGTAGAAGTACAGATACTCGTGTTTAAAAACACTCTGGTAAAAGTAGAAGTACTGACTAAACTTCTTTACTCAAGTAAAAGTAAAGAGGGCTTTGAAATGTACTTAAGTAAAAAGTACCCATAACTAGCAGCTGTTTTAAAGAGTACCTGACCTCCCTTTATATTAATAGAACAATAATGTCATTGTTAGCTAATGAATGTTTCCATGCTGAACAACGGCAACGTTTTCATTGGTCCCTCTTCTTTATAGAAGACCAGGAAATGATGGATACACGGTTAAAAATGTAAGAAGTAAAAGTAAAAAGTTGTCAGAAAAATAAGTAGTGGAGTAAAGTACTGATACCAGAAAAATGTACTTAATTACAGTAACGAAGTATTTGTACTCCACTACTTCCCACCTCTGGCCGTGAGCAAAAACATTTGACATCTATTAGAGAAGATGCGTCTATAATTAAGAGACCAGGTTTTACTCGTTAAAAAAGTCCTTTTAAAAAAATGAGTCAACCCTCCATTAAAGCCCCCAACTTTCTTGTCAAGATGACATGAGTGGACCGAGTCATCTACGTTAAAAGGTATGATTCATCCGATTCTAAAAACTGATTTTGTTTGGTACGAGGAAACTTTTATTCACACTGTAAAGACATTGAAATGTAAGTAATTCAGCTGGACATTTGATACGATTTTCCACAACTTATACCCTTAAAATGTGCAAATAATGACCCTGAGACTTTAATCAACTGTATTAAAATCTATGCATTATTATCATCTAGACCAGGGGTGTCCAAACTTTTTTTCATCGAGGGCCACATACAGAAAAATATTTGAAGGACTGGGTCACTCACTAGAGGTCAGGTTTATTGCCTCATAAGTGAAGTTATAAGTTAGTAAAATAAATCAAATGCAAGTAAATTATGCTGCAGCCTACATCACAGCTCTCCAGAGGGTTTCATTTATTTTGTGAGCAGCTCATTCTTTAAAACAGAAGCCTCAGAGTGATTATCATAAGAGGAAGTATGAAGGGTATATTTCAAGGTTGTTATTTAAATAAGTTATTGGGCTTTTTTCTTATCAACTTAGATTTGTTAGAACATGTTTCCAACTTTAATTGACTGAAAGTGGGCTTATTAACACATGAAAACTACTGTGTAATATATGTGTACAGATATATTTAAGAAGTACAATACAAGACGAGCTCAAGTTTCATTTCTGGGCCACCACCATTATACATTTTTTTATTTGCCGAGGGCCGATTCAAAATGGTCCGCGGGGCGCATTTGGCCCCCGGGCCGTAGTTTGGACACCCCTGGTCTAGATTGAAATGTATGGATCTGTTACCTCCTGTTTGACGTGGCAGGCGTCGTAGCGAGCGATCACGCTGAGGTCTCTCCATGTGTTCTGCACAGAGTATCCACACTGAGGAGGAGGCTGACTCAGAGGCACCGACGACTCATTCCCTGAGACACAGACAGACACCGACACAAATGTTATTAAAAATTAAGCATTTTAACAGATATTGCATTTTGCTTGCTAACATTTTTGTTGTTGAAATGCACTAGTCCATTTGGCGATTTTGATATCATTTTGATTAATTGTGCTAAACCCTTTTTTATTGCTGAAATATTTTGGACTGTTTATTTCTGTGTCTTAGTATCTCTTATGTACATTGCCTTGTGTTTTTTGTTTTTTTAATACTGCTGCAACGCAAACATTTCCCAAATTGGAATCAATAAAGTATCTATCTATCTAACAGAACACTTTGATGTCAGAATCAGCCATTCAAAATATATAAACAATTAAAAAAACTATTACAAATATGCAAAAAAAAGCATTTAAATGAGAATAGAAAGTACAGTGAGAAAATGACAAATTATTACGTGTATAAAGATAAAATATGTACAAAGAAACAAAGAAACCAGATGTACTGGTGACTAAAATCATTCATCGGGTTATAAAATATACCGTTGAAAACAACAAAGATAGAAAATAGTTGGCGGGAAACTCAATATAAATGTCAATTGATGTTTTACAGACGGCCACAGATATATGTTTAAAGGGGTATCCGTCTCCATCACAGGTGATCAAGTAATACGGACCATTACCTTAAAGGTAGGGTAGGTAATTTTGGAGAAATCGAGTGCGCTAGAATTTGAAAATACACAACCGAAAAAAATCTGCCACTTCCTTACAGAGCCCCTCCTCCAACACACACGAACATGACCAATGAGGGCACGAGATAAGTTTGTGCACAGATGGAAGGCTGACAGGCAGGTAGGCCATCCAGTTATTTTAGCCGGGCCGGCTCAGATGATTGGTCGTGCTTTTTACAGTACTACGGCTTCCACAGATGACTTTTTTTTATGGATTTTTTGTCAAAGCACTTCAGATATTCATTGCTATCGGGATGTTAAGAGCATTCCATGGAATATAACAAAAAGTGTATCTCGAGCCGGTTTCTCAAACTTACCTACCCCACCTTTAATTCGGTATTTCTCTATGCTTGAAAGTTATTGGAAACATTTTGGATACACAACTCTTATTTAAAAGTCGTTTTTAGACATTTTAAAGAGAGAAAAGTCACATATTATACCTTTAATTTCACTCTTAAGATAAGAAAATAGACCCCGGCTGCTACCATACTGGGTAATATATCTGTAAATTGAATTTCTAATAAAATATCCAAAAAGGTGAGTGTCTTCACCCCGGCTCAGCTGCAGTTGTACGGCTCGTCTCCTCCTCACTGTGAGGGTCATGGCGTCGTTTCCACAATCCACGACTGGCTTCAGGTTCTGCCAGCTCTCCTTTGAAGCACTGAGCCTCTGACCTCTGACCTCCTCGCTGACCTCTGACCTGCCCTCAGCATGAACTGGAGGACAGAAACAAACCAGAGTACACAGGGATTACAAAGTGTCAGTGTCTGTAGTTTAGTGGAGCAAAAAGGCCTCCAAGTAATAGAAACACAATTTGCAGATTCATAAATTAAGATTAAAACAGTTCACACAATCCCTGTAAATCAAGGTATAGAAGACATTTCAAGCGTGCATGTTTTCTCAATTTACTTCAAAGCAGGTTGCAGTCAGAGAGAGAAAACCTTGGTCAACATAGTAGATATCAGCCAATGAAATAAAACCACTGAATGGAATAAGAGTCAGCAAAATGTACAAAAGATAGGCTATTCTCAAAAATGTTATGAAGTAATATGAATTCCTTAAATTAGTTATCCGTCTGTGATGAATAAAAACACTTTTCGTAAAAAAGAAATGTGGATAATCCTTGTTGGGAAAAGCTAATTAGATATATTGAAAATTAGGTGTTTCTTTGCAGCTATAATGAACAAAATATGTGGCACAGGACCAAACTACTACTAGATGTGATTAAAACTATTTTAAGGTGTTCAGTTCAAATTGTAATGCGTAAAATAGGTAATGGTGAGACTTGGAAACACATTTCCAAAAATAAAAAGTTAAAACTAAATTGTATTTGAAATACAGCTATATGATTTTGCAAGGTAGATCGCAAAAATGTAAGGTTTCACATGCTTTAAAAAAAAAATCCAATTGACATTAGCTGGGAGGCCTTGCTTATAAAGTATAGAGCAACCCATAAGCAATAATTGTTTTACTACCCTGATAATAAATGGGGGTTTTAGTTTAAGAAATAGAGTTCAACGCTTGAGTTTCAATTTGGTATATTTTTTAGGCAAGGTAAGATAAGTTATATATAGCACATTTCAAAACAAGGTTATTTAAAGTGCTTCACAAGAAATATATAAAAACCATAATCACAAAAATATATATTTTAGAGAAACCAAGACAATACAAAAAAAGTCAAAGTAATAATAATAATTAAAAAAAAGTCTTAACACGAGAAGTAGAAAATGTAATACAAGTATCTTACCTGAAACAGAATCTGCCTGGTAAACCACCACCGGGTTTGTTTCAAGTAGTCCAGGAATATAAAACTTTCCCGGAGTGAAAAGCTCGATTTTCCCTTCGTTACATTCTTTATTCGGAGGGTCGCTTCGCTTCGGTTTGTTGCGGTCTTTGAAGATGTTTCCAATCAAAGAAGACGCCATGTTTGTTTCTAGTTTGAATCCAGTCTTGTTTTGGATTTCGGAGTTTAGAAAAGGGAGTATTCTCGACTCTTTTTCCCGTTTTGAGTCGAGTTTAATCCGCTCTCTGAGGCCTATAGTCGTTAAAACGCTTCTTCTTTCATCGTGAAAAGCAGAGTTTGAGGATGAATGAACAGGTAAAGTTATTGTTGTGATGGTGTAAATGAGAAGGACGATGAATAAGTGTCCTTTTTGTTTTAAATGCATTTCAAATAAGAGTTTCTCTCTGCAGCACAAACACACTGGGGCAGAGGAAACAGCAGCAGGACTTTGTAGACTTCCGGCCAACACACCTGATCGTTAATTGGTCTTAATTACACAGGTGTTTGGCTCAAACTGGATTATAACTGGTGCAGATTGGAAGCCCATGTCTGCCACTAAATAATAATAATAAATAGTATTTATTAAATACATCAAAATAATGAATTATTATCTCAAAGTTATGAGAAACTGTCTCATACATTTTGAGTTAGTATCCCAAGATAATGACATAGTATCTCAGAAATTATGATTTAGTGCCACAAAATTACAATTTAGTATCTTAAAATGAATCGAAACTTCCTCTTAATGATTACGTATGTCAAAATAATAGCTTACATGCCAAAAAATGTTGGAACGTTCTCAAAAATAATGACATCATATCTCAAAATGAGAAACCACCATGAGTCATTACTTCAATGTTATTATCTAGAGAAGGTTCATCACTATTTTGAGATACTATGTCGGTATTTTAAGATACTCATTTGTCTATCTCACAATTTATGGGACATTTGTGGTTACTTTTAGATAATAAGTTATCTTTTTGGATTAATTGAGGCATTCCTTTGATATATTAACTAGCAATTAAGTAGAATTTGAGAATTTTTTGAGTGAAGTCATATCTTTTAGAGTTATCATTTAAAGATTCTGAGTCACTATTTCAAGATACTGAGAAAATCACTAATATCTTTTTTGAAAAATGTTCTTGTTTTTTCAAGACACCAAGCCATTATTTTGAGAAAGATTTGAATAATGACTTACAGATCTTAACTCAAAACACCAGCCAAAAGACAAGTATCCCCTCAAAACTCACTAAATTGCTTCTAAAAAAAAGTTCCACAACAAAAATCATTTTTATTTCATATTTATTTTGTGACAACAGTAACATATTGCATACATTTTGCACCAGCATCAACAACAACACTCTGATAATGTAATATATAATACATTTTTAGTCATAAGGGCAAGTTTTCTGCATGAAAAGTACTTTTAATCAGGTAGTATTTCCACTGAGAATAGCATGTACTGTATAAAACAATCTACTTTTTGTCCACTAGAGGCCAATGCTGCATTGCTTTACATTAGTAACTGTTGATAACTTTTCACTGATGTATTCTTGAGGACTTTTCCACGCACACAGACACACACTTAACTCAATACATATTTATGGTTTTCCATCTGTTTCATAGTAGTGGCCATAACGTATAACGGATTAATTATTCTTAAAAAATAATATTTAGTCTGCATTTACTCAAAAACACATGTTGTCCTCAGATGCCACCAACCATGGCATTTGGGTTTGTTGACCTTTGCCCTCTTTTTAAATAACATCCTCTGCTTTGTCAAACCCATCATTTAATTGATGGAATAAGTCACACAGTGAGTCACTTTTGTATGTCATTTACATCTATTTGCATTTCAATGTTTGTTTTTTATTTACTCAACTGAAATTAAATCTCTATTGCCAGCCAGTGTTCATCCAAACCGCCATCTGGCCTGCAAATAAACTGATAAAAAGTTGAATAAACTGAGGATGCTACATCTATTCATGATAAAAAAGAAAGATATTGTCTGCTGTACGTCAACCAAAACCGCCAAGAAACAAGAGCTCTGTGAGATGCTGCCAACTCCACCATCTAACGATCAGTGACAGTGACGGTGCCAAGCTGAGATCAGTCATCACATTGTGGTCATGATGTTATCAGCTGAGGGCTGACTGGCGATGTTCTCACACTTAAACACTTATAAAGGGCTGTCTTTCACCTCTTCCTCAACATTAGGTTAGAAGTGGTGACAATTAATGTGGTGCAGGGATGACGTGCTTTTGTGGACCGACCCATTAGTTAGCATCACACAAAAAAACAGAGTGAAGTTAGCATCAGAAGGGCTACCTTGACAGAAAGCAAATGGGATTTTTCCTTTGGATTTTGGAATATTCCGGAAAATAAGCTCTGTGGCTAACACACATTTAAGATACTTACACGTTTGGTTCAGCAGGATAATCTCCACATATTAACACCACTATTTTTATAATAGTTGAAGTGTAAATTCAGATATCCAGAAGAAAAAAGCTACATCACCATGCTAAGCTAAAGGTGCTAACGTTCGGCGTGATGACATAGGCTATAGTCGTTTTTAAGCAACTTGTTAGCATCCGAACATTTTTAGACACGTAAAACCTTCAGAAATTCACCCGTGGGGTATTTACTGATGTTATTTATGTCGTAGAACAACATTTGAAAATCTCTTAAGCTAACGTTAGCCTATAAACAAACAACATCACGGTCCGTGACTTCACTTCACCACCGCTAAGCTAAAGGTGGCTAATGTTTGACTTGTGAGCAACATCCCTTCTTAAGACACAATGAAGCTTCAGACATTCACCAGTGGGGTATCTACTGACCTATTTCACCTAAAAAACGTTTTACAAAATTTGCAAATGTAATTTCCAAAAGTAAAAAAGCTAACATTAGACTATAAAGGAACTACATCACGGCCACATGACTTCACGTCATCACCGCTAAGCTAAAGGCGGCTAATGTTGGGCGTGATGACGTTTAATGGTCTCATTTATAGACACTTGTTAGCAACCGCCTTTTTTAAGACACATAGAAGTTTGAGATGTTCACCAGTGATGTCCACAATAACACTTTCAAAAGAACATTGACATCTAAATAAGGGAACACGGAAATGTTAAAATGCTAACTCATATGTTTAGGACTCATACCCGCGCCTCAATATCAGCCACATAGTTTAAATCCTTAAAAAAAACTTCACAACGTGGCTTCAAAGCTTTGTGTTTGTGTGTGTATACCAATGAAGCTGCGGTGTGTGTGTGTGTGTGTGTGTGTGTGTGTGTGTGTGTGTGTGTGTGTGTGTGTGTGTGTGTGTGTGTGTGTGTGTGTGGTGTGTGTGTGTGTGTGTGTGTGTGTGTGTGTGTGTGTGTGTGTGTGTGTGTAAGGGGGGGGGGTCGATCAGTTGATGATGGGCGCGGCAGTGAGATGACTCATATTTGGAGTTGCCTAGCTACAGCCCGGAGTTGTTTTCTTTGTGACTCGCAGCGAGAGTACAGTGTGTGTCTGGATTTCATTGAGAGACAGACAGAGAGAGAGGCTATTTGCGGGGGCAACATAAACGCAGGGGTGGCACTTATAGCAGGAAACAGGAGGAGCAGAAATGTTCCCAGAGAAGAAGAAGAAGAAGAACAAGGAGAAGAAGTCACGTGAAGTTAAATGTAGTGATATCAAGGCGGGGTTATAAAGAGAAAAGATTGAGGTCTAAAGAAAGAGCACTCGGGGTGAGGAAGTGAATGAAGTCACTATGGAAACAGGCCGGCTTGACAACATATGAGGATTTTTTTTTTATTGAATGTAAACGGTGGCTTACACACAATGTTCGCCCCACTTGAAGCTGTTCTGCAGCCTTCAAATTGTACAGAGGTTCATAATAAAGACTGCTGGAGCTGCTGCTGATTCTCATTCAAAACCACAAGGCAGACAGCCAACGAGGCACATGCTCACAGAAACATTCCCTGGCTTATATTGTCTGTTTAGCATATTATTTGACGCCTTAATTTGGTTTTATTGTGCCTTTACTCAAAGTTTACCTCAATTTGTTTTACTTTTTATTTATTGGCTTAGTTTTACCATACATGTACGTTGCTCAAAACACAAAAAACGAATTTCTTAACAGGCAATATAAGTAAAACAAAACAAAGATACAACCATACTGTATGGTTTTTGCACTTATTATAAGTCACTTTGGATAAAAGCATCAGCTAAACGATATGTAATGTAATGTAACATATTGAATGCCTTAAAAGGGACGTATGATGCTCATTTTCAGGTTCATGTTTGTATTTAGTGCCTCTACTGTTACACGTTTACATAAGCATGTGAATAAATATGAACAATTTAGAATAAATATTGCGGTAAATCTGCATTACAATGAGCTTGTGCTTCAGTTAGTTGCAGGGTAAGTGTGTATTTTCAGACTATTAGGACTCTGGGACAATGGATATTTGTTTTCGGGCGATAGGAGGTCGGAAAAATGTGGCTTTTCCTTCCAAGAGGACATTTTTTTGACTAGTAGGAACAACAGGTTTTTGCACACAGGCTCTATTTTCTTAGTGATGAATGGAGGCTGCGGTTGCTTTCAAAGATTGTCGGACAAAGGCCAAAATATAATAAAGGACGCACACTGGGGAGGTGACTATTACTAGGAAAAAAAACTGTGAGAAAGGAAGCTATGAGTGTGTGTTTGAGGGTGTGTGTTGTTCCTCTAGTCCCTGTGGCGATGTGTCACACCCTCAGAGGGTGATGAGTATGCAGCATGTATTTTAAATGTGTGTGTGTGTGTGTTAATTTTATTCCAGAAACCTAGGCCATGTGTCACTGATCTTGTAGATAAGATGAGAATGTGTACATGTTTGTAGGAATGTGTTTTTGAGAATGTGTGTGAGTGACAGGCCTGTGCAGAAGTGTATCATGAAAACCAACTCAGTGACACTTTTCCAATTGGTCAACAGCCTGAGGAGAGGTGAGGGTCACGACCTTTATATATACAGTCTATGGTCACGACACAAAACACTGGTGTTGGCCCCGCCTCTTTCTGAAGAACACACACATCCAAAGTCTTTGAAATTGAGCGGTGAAGGGATGACGTATTTTTGTAGGCCGATCCAAAAGGAAGCAACACAAGCACTCCCTTGACAAAAAGCCATTTATTTCATTGGATTTGGAATATTGCAGAAAATAAGATCTTTGGCCATTTTGGGGAATATTTATAATGTAAATCTTCAATAAATATGGCATCATCTTAAATAACTTTACTATTATACAGTATATTTCTACCAAACTCACTATTTGCATTGTTGTTGTTAGCATCTGGTTAGCTAGCTGCGCTAACGGATATTAGAAGCTGTTTCTAAAACAAGGAGAGGGAGAGCTCTCTCCTGTC